AGATATTTCCTATTTCTAATAAAGATTTCTATAAACTAAAGTCTTTGTTAAATGAAACAACAACGTTAGAGAAGATGATATCAGTTACAAAGATTATTGGGCAAAAATCAATATCTGGGAAAATACTTATGCAAAATATCTAAATTTCTATATCGTAATTTGATAAATAACAAAAGTGTAAAGAACTTTGAGATACACCACCCCAAAAGCTAGCTCAAAGGGTGGAAGTGCCCAAGGACTATATATCTCAACACGCTCCCTCACACGAGAGCAAGGGTGGACAACATACAAGCCCACCTATATGTGGGAATTCCACTACAAAGAAAGTGGGAGGCGGTGAGATTTCGAACGCTCTGATACCATGTAAAAAAATTTTTTGAACACAGAGAAAACATCGCTTTTATTCTTCAAGAGACTTACCCAGCACATACGAGTGCATTCATCAATGAATGTTACGTAGTAAAAGCATTTAGAAAAAGAGGATATTTTTGTTGGGCCCCATACATCAGAGTGAATAACCTGGAAGGGAACACAACTTTTATTTAAACTTGGATAATACGAAATTCTATGACTTTTGGCCAGCTCACAAACAGAGCAATGAAAATCAGTGACTTTCAAATTATTAAAAAAACTAGGAAATAATCTATGGAGATATCTAAAGGAAAGATGACCTAATCTCCTATGCCAAAGCCATACTTTATTCGTTGCAGAATCCATAATAGAAGTAGCAGCCACAAATGGAGAAGAGAGACTGCCGAATTGAGAAGCATCCAGGTAGTACAATTTTCCTCTTCTAACACCATAACCAAGAATCTCCTCTGTCTGGTTGTCCTTGAAGATACAAGTATTTGGCAAAAAATTCACAGAACAGTTAGAGTTAGAAGTAATTTGACTAGCAGATAGTAGGTTAAAATCTAAAGATGGAACGGCTAACACAAGGGAGAGATGTAACCGATTGGAAAAAGAGATGGAGCCTTGGCCAACAATGGCAGATGTCCCACCATTTGCTGTAGAAATTACACACTTAGGGGAAGGGGTAAGGTTAGATAATAAATGGGGATATCGAATCATATGATCACTAGCACCCGTATCAATTATCCATGAATCAATTGCAGATAATGTAGAGAGAGCATGAGACTTACCAAGGATTCCTTCATAAACCGCATTGGCTGAAGGAGGAGGTCCCGAATCAGAGATGGAGGGTGGTGATCGGTTCAAGGATTTCCGGCGAGGCCTCTTAGTGAAATCCCACCAGTCGGGATAGCCAATGAGTTCGTAGCACCGAGTCTTTGTGTGACCAGAGTCTCCACAGTGTGCACAAAGAAGCTTCGAAGCAGACCCTTCCTTGCGAGGTTTCAGAGGAGCAGAGGAAGACCGTGGGTGGTGAGCCACCATGGCTGAGGGATCATTAGTGGGGAGAGGTCTATTCATGGTAACCCGTTGCTGCTGTTCACGCCTAACATAGGCGTATGATGCTTCAAGATCCAACTTAGGGTCCTTGCATAAAATCTCGCCTTTGACTTGTTCAAATTCAGCATCAAGACCAAAGAGAAATATATTGACTCGCATGCGCACCATGGCCGAGTGCATCTGGACAACACCAGCGACAGTGCCTGCTTGAGATGAGGTGCGGTGGTCAATATCCTGGAAGGTGGAGAGAAGATCGTTGAAATACGTGGATAGTGGTCGGCCGGTTTGCTTGGTGTTGAAGGACCGTTGATTCAACTCAAAGAGAACCGTTTCATCTGATCCATCAAAGAAGGTTCGCCGGACAGCATCCCAAATCTCCGATGCACACTCGATGCGGAGGAAGCGTTGCATAAGGGGAGGAGACATGGAATCAATCAACCAGCTCTTCACCTTCTTGTTTTCAGTTACCCACGTATCAAAGAAGGGGTCATCCGCCGGTGGTTGCTTGGTGGCGCCGGTGAGATAGCCGGTTTTGTTTCGCGCACCAATTCATATATCAAGTAGTTGAGACCACAACGGATAGTTGTGATCATCGAGAACAACGGTGATGGGAAATGAGGTGTGATCTTGGTGGATGGTGATGGTGGATGGAGTGGATGCCGCGACCGTCGGAGAGGAGGGGGTTGAATCCATTTGGGAAGAAGGGAAATTTAGGGATTTAGGGAGGGTATTGTAAAAAACTGAGAAGGGAGTGGGAACGGGTACGAGTATGGGTATGGATTTTGTTGTTTTTTTTTCTTTTTTCTGTATTTTAATTTTTTTAGAAAGAAGAAATGAAAGCAAGGGAAGAAAATTATGGTTCCTGGATCAAAACACTACAAAGCAAGACTAGTGGCCAAGGGATATACACAGAAGTATGGAATTGACTACCAACAGACGTTTGCCCCAGTAGCCAAACTCAATACTATAAGGATCTTACTCTCACTAGCAGCTAACAGGGATTGGCCCTTGAAACAGTTTGATGTAAAGAATGCATTCTTAAATGGCGATCTAGAGGAAGAAGCCTACATGGATATACCACCAGGAGTAAAACTAACTCAATCAGATGGGGATCGGGTTTGCAAGCTGAAAAAGGCCTTATACGGACTCAAGCAGTCACAAAGAGCATGGTTTGGGCGCCTCTCCTTAGCAATGAAAAAGTTTGGGTACAAACAGAGTAATTGTGATCATACTCTGTTTTATAAACATAAAGCAGGGAAAATAACTATTTTGATAGTTTACGTTGATGATATGATACTAACTGGAGATGACATTGAGGAGATGAAGTCCCTGGAAAATCGGTTGGCAACTGAGTTTGAAATGAAGGATCGAGGCCCTCTAAGATACTTCCTTGGGATAGAAATTGCAAGATCCAAAAATAGCATATTTCTGTCTCAAAGGAAATATATACTAGATCTCTTATCAGAAACCGGAATGCTAGGTTGCAAACCAGCTGAGAATCCCATTGAGATGAATCATATACTTGGAGAGTATCCTGACGAAGTAAAGACTGACATTGGAAGGTATCAAAGACTAGTAGGAAGACTCATTTACCTCTCACATACTCGGCCAGACATTGCATATGCAGTAGGGATGGTAAGCAAGTTTATGCACTCTCCGAGTGAAGATCACATGAAAGCTGTATATCGGATACTAAGATATTTAAAGGGGTCACCTGGAAAAGGCATTCTTTTTTCAAAAACCGGCAAGAAAGGCATTGAAGGATTCACTGATTCTGATTGGGCTGGTGACAAAACAACTAGACAGTCTACCTCAGGGTACTTTACACTGGTAGAAGGAAATCTAGTCACTTGGAGAAGTAAAAAACAAAAGGTTGTTGCAAGATCCAGTGCTAAGGCAGAATTTAGAGGTATGGCATACTGTGTCTGTGAATTATTGTGGATTAAAAATATTCTGAATGATTTGGGAATTAATTATAATGTTCCTATGAGTCTTTACTGTGATAATAAAGCTTCTATTGAAATTGCTCATAATCCGGTTCAACACGATAGAACGAAGCATGTTGAAGTGGATAGACATTTCATAAAAGAGAAACTGGATCAGAAAATTATCACCACTCCTTTCATCAGATCAGAAAACCAACTTGCAGACATCTTGACAAAGGCAGTCTCTGGAAAAGCTCTAAAAGATGCAATCAACAAGTTAGGCATGTATGACATCCATGCACCAACTTGAGGGAAAGTGTTAGACTAGCAAGTTTAAATTTAAAGAGTTGTTGTAAGAAAGAATATTTGTTTTAGCAACAAAGTAGTTGATTCTTTATTTTGTTAGATGATTTTTAGGATTGTTGAATATCCTGTTTTGTATATTTATACACCTCAATTGAAGAGGTAAAATAATCAATGAATAGAAGTATTTCAGAAGTCTGAGTTTTTACAAAAAGCGATTTTAATTTTTAAAGTTCTTTGTAAGATCAACAACAATGATATCAACCAAATTCTTTTAAAAAAAACCTCTGAACCCTAATTCCAGATAATGTGACACAAAGTACAATATCATAAAGTAAAAATTATCAAAGCTCCCAAGCCTAATTCCAGAGACAAGAAGCAGTGCAATTCTTCAATCATTGGGCACCTAGGATAATAAATTATTAGAAAATCAAAGTAATAAATATAATAAAATATAATAGGGGTTTAACATTGGGTTATACTTATATAATGTTACATAAAAAACACTATTTGATCCTACACAAACATAAAAGAAGAGAGAGAAAATGAGTTGAGGAAAGAGAAAATAAAAAATTGTGGACGGGTCTATTTGTTTGGGTAGGAAAAGAAGCTTACATCATGTTACATAATAGATGTATTTCCCTTTAACATTTATCTTTTTATTACAAAAATATTTTATCTATTACATTCGGATAAAAATAAATAAATCTCATTATAAAGAGAGAAAAAAAAGAAAAATTTATTGAAATTTATCAAAAAAAAATATATAATATACCGACACTAATTATCTCTTTGAAGTGAATCATCTCTCAAACTTTTCCACAAGCTTCAATTCTTAAAATTGATTATAAAAGTAATCTCGAATCGAATATTAATCGCAAAGCTCTTCCCATTTTTTTTTTTGGTACATTGCCAGGAAGGCACCATGCCCTCGGGGTACGGCCCGTTTGGACTACCCCTCATTGTAACAGTGGGTGCACTAAGTTTCGCAACCAGAGAAAGGACGAGACTAATCCCCCAACCGAAGATTTTTGACTTATCCTCTGATCCCTAAAGATTTTCCAAGAAACTGCTTGAGGCAGAGTTTAATCCCTGCACCAAACAATCCCTTGAAAGCTCAGCTGCCAACTGAGCTAGCGTCGGAGGTTACCTCTTCCCATTTTTAAAGAAGTATCAATAGGTAATAGAATAGTAGAAGAGGACATATGCGACAAGTGCCACCGGAATAAATAAAACCTAGAAGTTGTTAGAAGAAGTGTACAATTTGAGCACCTTGTTTACAATTCATTTACATGATTGACTCTTAATCTGAACGGGAAGTGGTCCTATATTTGACCATATATTAAAGTTTCCAATTCCTGCTTCCTTTTATATGTATCCTTTTGCTTTGTATTTCTCTTCTGTCAGTGGCCGATACTTCAAAACCTACGGTCTCCAATATTCTCTCTTTCTTCGTCTTCATCTCCATCTCCAAATACAGACAGCTAAGGTAAATTTCTCTTTCTCGAGAAAATCAAGCTACAATTGACGGAAAATTACTAAACATTTTCATTCTTTCGGTTTTCTTCTACGAATTCTTCCAAATGCGGCAACCTCTTCTGCCGAGTGTATATGATGCCATAGAAATCTGTTTTCTGCTTCCTTTTTTTTTTTTTTCACAGTGATCATGATGTTTATGTGGTGATTTATTTATTTATTTTTATCTGGTCCATGTCGCATTTTTTATTCATTTTCTCGGCAACTAAACAGTGTTTAATTTGTGAACTGTTTGAAATTGTAACGAACATAAATGAATCCGTGATGATGATGGTGCCTCTGATGTAGATTTAGGTCGACCTGCTCCGTAGCGATGGCTAGGAAGATGCTTATCGATCGCGAACCTGAATTGATCAATCCGGGAGAAGAAGCTGCGAATTTCGACTTTGATTTGTTTATTATTGGGGCTGGAAGCGGTGGCGTTCGTGCCGCTAGGTTTTCAGCTAATTTTGGAGCCAAGGTATGAATTTATTTTGTTATTCTGTGGAGAGTGAAATCTACAAATGTTACTAAGCTATTGAGTCTTAAGCTTTTCACCCGGGACATGGATGGTTTTTGAGTATTAATACATAGAAGAATAACTTCAGAGGTGCATAGTAGTTTTTCAATATTACTCATTCTGTTATTCATGTGATAATCAGTTTTTTCATCTTCTCTTCTGAAGTCTTTGATGATGTTCAGTTTGTTTATCATCTAATAATATTCTGAAACTTCTGTTAAAAAGGTTGGGATTTGCGAGCTTCCATTTCATCCAATTAGCTCAGAAACTATTGGAGGCGTTGGTGGAACGTAAGTTCACCAAAACTTGGAAATTCTTTGCTACCTTCTCTTTTATGGGCGTTTGCATCTCTTTAGTTATATTTCCATGTGGGGTCTGTTGCTTTGAAATGCACATGATGCAGTCATGGTCCAATCCTGGGCTAATGTAAAATACTCTTAATATTGGAAAAAGTTGTTTGTTTAGATAAATTTATTTTCTGGCTTTCTGTTGTCTTTGCTGCTGAATATTTCAGATCCGTTTCTGGTAAACTTGTATGATAATAAGATGTTGCTGTGATGGAGTGACTTGCACTTTATATGCATGATTCATACAGTTTGTTCCTGTTTTCCCTCACTCTCCTCACTCCTCAATAATATCTCTTCAACTATTAAGTAGTTCTAACTTCTAAATGCTTATAAATTTTCTATTTGGAAGGTGTGTTATTCGTGGTTGTGTTCCCAAAAAGATTTTGGTCTATGGAGCATCTTTTGGAGGTGAACTTGAGGTAAATATTTGATCATAAAGCTTATAGCGCCAGGCATTATAGTGAACTGCTCTGTTAACATTATGGATTCTTTGTTGGATATATAGATTGATTGGCGTGCTTTGCTCACTTGGTATGTCCTTTTTTGTTTTTGTATTTTGGTGTTTTCTTTATAGCAAATTGCTCAGGTAACAACTTAACATTATGCATTTATTTCCTTATTGTAAGATTTTCCTTTTTAACTCACGTTTTAGGAACTACATGGAAATCAGTTCAGCTTGTAGCTTAAAAGAAATAGGATAGGGTACATTTTATGTGGGAGTAGTTCATCTCTGTTGACAGATTTGATAGCAAAATCTGGTACAAGTATTGAAGGAGTAAATGATCCTGTCCTGGAATTACATGTGAAAGAAAATAGATAACTTCTTACTATGAATTTGTTATAAGTTCATGTAATGCAATGACTTCAGCTAATAGTGATCTTTAATACTGTTATACTTTTAATGTCAAATTTGAAAATTAAACGGACTTTAATCAGTTACTTTTAATTTGATAACCAAGAAGAATCAAGAGTTATAGTCCATTATTAACAAATAAATTGAAGGTTACTTGTTGCCTATAAATAACTTTAAGAAAGTAGGTTCGGTTGATATACAGGCTTGTAAATTATTATGGAGAATAGCAAGATGGAAATCCATAATCTCCATTTATATTTTACTCCAAAGGTTTACAACTTCTGGAAACCAATATTTCCACCTGAATCTGATCCCCATTTCTATAGTTATCCTTTATTCTTTATAAATTATTTCCTCCATATTTCCTCGGGTGATTGAAGTCAAGTTTTACCTAAACCCTAAATTTTCATTATGTAAGATGCCTCTGCCCCCCACCACTTAAATCCATTACCCCAGAACATTTTATTTCTTAACCATTCTATGCTGTGTTAATGTCTTTTTTTCTGGCCGTCCTCTTGGTGTGGGTCAAGGTGTTGCCCTGATATAATTTGCTGAGATGTTCCTTTCATAGATATAATATGACTTTATAACTGCTGTGTTAATCTTTAACCTGGATGTAGGTTTGTGCATAATATGTTTCTAGAAGATACAAAATGTTTTGTATTAGTAATAAGTTCGATCCAAATTATAAATTTTCAGAACTGAAAGATGTGTTTTGATTAATCATTTCAAATCAAGTATTAATGCGATAGAATAAGGGTAATGTAACTCTCATGTTACATGACAAGGAAACCATCTCCTGCACACCCTTCGATTCTCGAGCCTGTCTTCTTCTTTCTTTCTTTTTTCAAATTGTGGATCCCACGAAAATGTGTCTACAGGAAAGTTTGCTTTTCTCCTACAAAAGGAGAAAAGTAATCCCCATAGAATAAAGAAGTAACGGTTTTCCATAATTTGTATTCTGTAACATTAAGAAGTTGACCAATCTTCACTTAAGGTGGTTTAGTCACATGAGAAGAAGACCAATAATGGCTCTAGTGATAAAAGTAAATCAAATGGAAGATAATTTGAGTGTCCACTGTGCAGTCATGTACTGCAGTAGGATTGGTTTGATTTCTCATTAAGTACGTGATGCAAATACAATTCAATATTATATTTCAATTGTTAATATATATATATATATATATATATATATATATATATATATATATATATATATACGGATTAACGTTTCTCCTGTCAAAGGAGATAAAATTATCTCCTACAACTCCAAAATGATGTCGTTTTGGGGTTTTAAAAAAAATTACGGGTATTTTAGTAAAATACATATTACAATAGGAAAACATAATTTCCAAAATACCCTTTATTTTTTATTCTAAATTCCAAACGACGTCGTTTTGAGATTGCAAAAGATAATTTTATCTCTTATAACAGGAGAAGCATTTTTTCCATATATATATATATTCTTAATCAGTGCATAATTGTTATTCCAGTGCTTCCTGTATCATCATTTTTTTTTCACTTTTGTTTGATGATTTAACAAATTTGACTGGTTTGGTAGGATGCTAGAAATTATGGGTGGGAATTGAGCGAGAATGTAGACTTCAATTGGAAGAAGCTCTTGCAAAAGAAGGTAATTCACATTTCTTATACTTTTTGTTAGAATTATTAATTTTCTATGTATGTAAATTATATTGTTTCTTCTTCAACCTAAATTAGGAAGATAATAGTTGTATTTTGTTCTCTGAGAAGAAATTATTTGTGAACAAATAAATATAAGAGCGAAATTGGACTAGGTTAAAAAAGCAATTGCAGAAAGATTAAAGATTATGAAGAGGGCAAACTTTATTGCAAGGAAAGTATTGAATAAGAAAAACCGTGGTGGGGAGAGTTGATGTTTACTAGACTAGTCCTGATATTGACTTTTCATCTGATGAAATTCTTTTTGACTTCAATCTACTCTTCTATTCTTATCTTTCATACATCAGCAGCATTTGGGTTTCATTTGAATTTATAACGAATGTTCATATTGTTTGTGAACTACTGTGTTTACTGTTTTTCTTAAATCAGAATGCTCACTGTAACGTATATTTTATGAGTGATTCTTGATTGTAAAAAGGGCTGCCTGTGCGTGAGCCTCCCAGCATTATGGAGTTTTGGGAGGGTCAGATGCATGGTTGTCAAACTCGCGCGTTTACTCGTAAAAGCGAACGAGTTTACGCTTCAGCAACACGGTTACGAGCCACGATCTCCGTTTACTCGCTTTTGGCCCTCAAATGGTAGAAGCGTTGAGTTTTTTGGCAAACTTGTATAATCGTCCGTGTTCAACTATTTCACCAGAACAAGAAGACCTGTTGACCTGAATATTTGACCCGGAAAACCATTATATAAATGGGTTTTTTTAGCTAAAAAAATCCTAAAGAACCTGAGCCACCACCGTTGCAGATCGTGGGAGACGAAGTCGCGACTCAGAAGCTTCAAGCCACCGTCTTCTCCGGTCGTCCCTCCCTTGCATGGTACTGATTCGTCGTCTTGCCCTCTTCCTGAGTGAAGCTTCTCTGCGTGCCATCGCCGTCGTGCTTCTGTTTCGCCGTCGTGCTTCAAGCCACCGTCTTCTCCGGTCGTCCCTCACCGGTTAGTGCTCTGCTCCGTCTGAATCTCACCGTGCTTCTGTTTTATTTTTTTGTTCTCGCGCTCGCCTCTGTTCGTGCTCGCCTCTGTTCACAACTCTACTGACTGCATTTTTTGTTTTATTTATAAATCATTTTATTTATTTTATTTATTTTATTTTATAAAACAAAATCATTTACATTTTATTTTATAAAACAAAATCATTTTATTTTATAAACAAAATCATTTTGCTTGGGCTCTGTGTGATAAACCGTAAACTAAACCAAATCATATTTTTTTTTTTTGGGTATCCAAACCAAATCAGATTTATTTGATAAATCAAATGAATTTTTTTTTTTTTCACTTGAATTGCCTCCCTTTGATTTTACATTCAAAGGAAAAAATAAAATTAATCCAAATAAAATTAGTAGGAATTAATTTCACTTGAATTGTGGTAAGTTTTTTTTGTTCTCTTAATTTTTGCTTGCTGCTGGTCCAATTAATTTCAAAGGACCTCTGTTGGTCAAATTTGCTTATTATATTACTTTATATGCATATAAATATATATAAATATAATTTGTATCTTGTGTTATGAGTCTACGATCCGTGTTACGATTCTGCGATTTACGATTTTGGTTCACCCTTCCGAGTTTGCATAGAATCTCGAGTTTGACAACCATGGTCAGATGTATGCAACCTTATGACCTCGCGACCGGTGAGGTTGTTCCACGACTAGAAATGGTAACCTGGTCACAAGGCAGTTATCTTATCGTTGCACCAATGATCACTCTCTTATTAGAAAAAAGGGGCAACTTGGTGCTATAAAGCTTTCACTATGAGTAGGGTCTAGGGAAGGATTAGACCCAGTGTATTGGATTCTAGTAGGAAGTTTTATGTGTGACCTCCAGGACAACACCAACTGTTGTGCCAAGGCTCCCCTTCATTTTCTTTGCTCTCTTTTATGATGCTCAATAATATTTTTCACGGAAAAAATAATAATCTTGGATTTAAATTATAGGAACACTGCATGACACTAATGCTTTCTTTTCTTGTAAATACTTGCTAGAAATGGGAACATTTGTTGTTACCTACATCATTTAGATGTTGGCTTTGTGATTATATATATATATATATATATATATATAGGGTTCGCTTTTTGTCATGTCACATGACAAGACTATTTTCCTGACACACAAATCAAGTGTGGGTCCCACGATTAAAAAAAAAAAGTCAAACCAAAATCAGGATACGGCGCCGTATCCTCAAGATACGTTGCCGGATCCTTGTTGCAGGAATGAACAGTGTCATTCTTGCAACATGATTCTTATATTTCCCATATATATATATATAAGGACAAACCCCAGGTGAAGGCTCCCCGACTTGCGAGGGTAGGAGTGAGGGTCAATTATACACAGTCTACCTTTATATTTTTGCAAAGAGATTGTTTCCCGAACTCAAACTCATGACCTTCCGATCACAAGAAGCAACCTTACTGTTGCTCCAAGGCTCACCCTCAGGCACGCACATCTATAAGTTAAAATTAGTAACTCAAGAAGTTGTCATGTTGAAGACTTGAAGTGTAATTGTGAAATTTGGGCCCTTACTTCAACAAGTGATGGGACTGCTCTGTTGAACGCTGGCACTGATAACGAAAGATTAGCATCTTTCTAATTTTATTTATTATTTTATATCTATACATAAGATCCTTTTTGTATTATCTTTGCTTTTCTAGATGCTGTTTCATTTATAAACTCTACATCCTTGTCTTCCCAACTTATGATTATTGAAGCAGAGAGAAATTCATTAGTACCAGAGAAAAATTAAACTTGTTATTTGTATGTCATTCAATAACTAAAATTGTTTTCCATAACTGCAGACAGATGAAATAAACAGATTAAATGGAGTTTACAAGCGGCTATTATCCAATGCTGGGATTAAATTATTTGAAGGTGAGGGGAAGATAGTGGGTCCAAATGAAGTTGAGGTCACCCAATTAGATGGCACCAAATTGTCTTATTCAGCAAAGCACATTTTGATTGCAACTGGCAGTAGGGCTCAACGTCCAAATATTCCAGGACAGGTGAATTTACTTTTTTTCTGAATACCATTGCAAACTGATCCTAGCAATAAGCAGTTGTGTAATCATCCTATGTGATTGACAAGAGGGTAAAGTTTTAATATTGTGATATACTGATATGTATATTATGCAATATTAGTTCATCTGCTATGTTCTTGGGCAATACTTACAAATTTCTTTGTACAATGCATAACTTAGGGAATGTTTGAAATTAAAACTTCAGCAGTGAATGGAATTATTTTGGTATAAAAATTCATTTGGCTTGTTTGAGATTCCAAAACTGAAAAAAAAAAAAACACCACCCAAAAATCTGCTGAATCTGTTCAGCATAAAGGGGGATGCATAATGCTCGATGAGGAATGCAGTCACTGACACAGTGACACTACTTTTATTGACTTTTTGTATGAGAATTATACCCCGGATATTTTCTTAAAATTACATCTCAATCAGGCTTTATTGTCTGGGATTTACACTTCTTGCTCTTTTTCTTTATATATATATATATATATATATATATATATATATATATATATATTATTTTTATTTTTATTTTTTTTCCAGAACTTGTTTTAACTCCGAGAGCCTCTTTGGAGCATTTCTTTCAAGCTAAAAGCTAATTTTATATAAAGTTAAAAAAAGAGCATAAAAAATAAAGCTAAAAGCTGTTTGGTATTATATAAAATGCCTGTTCGGGAGGTCTTTTTTAGCTTCTTTTTCCTGATAAGTAGAAGTTAGGCCAAACAAGGTTTTACAAAAGATCTTATCATAAAAGAGCTTTTTTTTACAATGAAGAAAAAAGCCAAAAGCTCCTAGAAGGAGCTTTTTTTAAGTTAGATCAGCTTTTTTTAAATGTTTGCTTTTTTGAAATGAACAGCTTTTAAGCTAAAAAAATTATATAATTCTCAAACAGATTGTAGCTTTTTTTTAAAGTTTTTTTTTTAGCTTTAGTTTAAAAGTAGCTTTTAACTTAAAAAAGAGAAGTATCAAATAGACTCAAAGTTGTTCTCTGGGTTTTGAAAGGGGGAGATGAAATGATTTGTTATTATGATAAATTATTAGGATAATGGGTAAAATTTGTAAATACAAGTTTAGAATAAGGATAAAACTGAAAAATAAATATAAAAAAAATAGCTCCTCTTGGGAGCTTTTAACTTTTTCGCTTTTTATGATAAGAGATTTTGTAAAAATATGTTTGACCAAATTTCCCTTTATAAAGAGAAGAGAAACTAAAAAAAAGACCGTTTAAACGGGTACTGAATGTGATAATGGTGGTCAGTTTCAAACTTTCGCTCTTGGTGTCAATACTGATACTGATTTTAACCTTTACTGCTTGTACTATATTAATTAATCTTTGTTTTTTACCTTCTCATACTACTACTTTACTAATTAATCGTCTGTATCATGCATTCTCTCTTTTTTCAAAGTAGACATGTTCTGATGAAAATACTACTGCACTATTTTTTTTTTCATAAAGATTTCTATAGAATAATTATTTCAATAATTTAGAAAAAGAAAGTGAGTGACATTACTTTTTATTACTTCTTAGGTTGCACACACACATAAATTTAAAATCGAGTTTAATACTTTAATCTTGTAACTCGAAATCATTTTATGATTCACTTCATTAAATTTTCAAACAATTAAGCTTACTTATAGTTCAATTATTTTTTACAATAATTTAGAAGGGCATTAATCAAATACAGTCCCCCTTGAATTCTGCATCTTTTTCTTTGCTTTTTTTTATTATTATTATTTTATTTTTGAAGAGAAGAGAGGGGGGGGGGGGGGGGGTTGTAGACTTGCCTTCAATGCTTGAGCTACACAAGAATAGTTTTTCCCTGCGGAATTTAACCTTTTGGCCTTTCCACTGTGCTGCTGTCCGGCACTCCCCCTTCCAAAATGCATTTGAAACATTATTGAAGTTCTTATTCTTAAATCTTAACAATCTCCAAATCATTTATTCAAAATTTTAATCATATTTGGAATATTACTTTTGTTCCTTATGTCATCTCTTCTTTGCTGGTTTTGTTATTCAATTTCTTTTTTCTCTTGTGGGGGTGGGGGGGTTGTTATACAGGAGTTGGCTATAACATCCGATGAGGCACTAAGTTTGGAGGAACTTCCTAAACGAGCTGTGGTTCTTGGAGGAGGGTTTGTCACCCGCTTCTTCAGATGTGTATTAGTTCAACTACCTAGTATGTCGTGACTATTAATTTAAATTTTGTTGTTTTCAGTTATATTGCAGTTGAGTTTGCATCTATATGGCGTGGAATGGGTTCCACAGTCCAGCTAGTTTTCAGAAAGGAACTTCCATTAAGGTTGGGCCCTGTCATGCACATTGCACATTCCATTCATGTTTAATTTAATTTCTATCTTGTGTAATTTTAAAGAATTGAAAAGCAAGACTAAAGTCTAAAAATTTTACAGCTTTGTGTGTATTTTGAACGATAATATTGTCACCTTCCAATTTAAATTTTTCTAACAAGCTGATAAAATGTGGGACGTGGTATCAATTTAATAAAATTGTGGACTTCAAAGGTTAATCATGAAGTAGACGTAAGGGATGTAATGCAAGGGATGGCGTAGGAATTTGTTGTAGCTGGACAATGCTTAACCCTTGAGATAATTTCAAATTTTTGTCTTACCAGTTAGAAAAAGGGTGCCATATTATATTGGTACTAGGGTGCTGTTTTATTTCCTGACATACTTACTTATCAATTATCATTTCATTTTTCTAGTAGGTCGTACTATTAATAGAGCTAAAATATGTGTTTCCTAGAATACGCACTTTTGAGGGAGCAGCTTAAATAACATGATACTTATCTTGGAAATTCATAATGCATGCTGCTCTGAGTTTATTTTGTGAATCAACGTTAACATCGGGGTTGATGGTCGATAAACCCATATAAAAGCAATTACAGATTAAGAAAAAATAAATAAGAAATAATAATAAATAATAATAATAATAATAAATATTAAATAAATAAGAACTTATAGGAAATTTTGCTGATTGAATCATTGGTGAATTGAGATACGCAGGAAAGAGAGACAATTTAGAATAAGAATGGGAAGTTGATACATGCTTTTGATTGTGGAAACGTTAAGAAAATTGGGGGGGAAAGTGAAAATGTTTCTTTCAAGTAGCCAATGGAGAATTGCTGTTTTTGGTTTTCTTGCAAGCAGCAGAACGATAGAACTGCCAAACAGGACCTTAATAATGCACACATCTAGTCATCAATATCTACTTGAAATCAATAGTTATCAGTTATCACCATCTATCCCTAAATTTTACTGGGAGACCTCACTCATATTTGATGTGATTTATGATAACTACTTAATGATTCACAATTTTCTGGCAAATAATATTTGTTCACGTGTAAAATTTCAGTTTTCAGGGTTGTAAGTGCCGGTTTATCTGGTGTCATATCTGGCAAATAATATATCGTCTTTCGCTATAATGCATTTTCATTCATTTTTGTTAGCACAGTTTTCATACTATGTATCTCTGTAGCATACCCCGTTTTTGAATGTAAGTTTGTTGTAGAGGTTTTGATGATGAAATGAGAGCAGTGGTTGCAAGAAATCTTGAAGGCAGGGGGGTTAATTTACACCCAAGGACAAATTTAACGCAGGTATTTCCTTTCGAGAATTTTCAACTCATGTTTTTCATATGAAGTAATTCATTCTTTTCTTGGAGGCTTAGCTGATGGCAACAAATTTTATTTTCTAGTTGATCAAAACAGAGGATGGAATTAAAGTTATCACAGATCATGGTGAGGAACTGATGGCTGATGTTGTGCTATTTGCCACTGGTAAGGATACATATAACGTGGACTTTTAAATGATTGGTTTTTAAGAGCCTGAAAGTATTAGTATTACAAGTTACAACCATAAATTCCTTAGGGCTTAACTCACAGTTTTATTCTGGCTTAAAATTAAGCACTCACTTTAATAATATCTTTATCAATTTAAACATTTCGTGGAATCTTTCCACATCATTCTTCTGTGGAGTTTGTTGATGATGTAATCAGTTCAGGATTATGACCCTTTATATCCTAGCCTAGAATTGCAGCATCACGTTTGCTTTAACTTTCTAAAAAGTGATAAATGCTTTCTGCAAATTTGTCTCGTGGTATTTTTACTTGCCTGCCTTAATATCTATATTTTCTTAAGTGTTCTTTTGTTGGCTCCAGGTAGGGCTCCTAATTCGAGAAGGTTAAATTTAGAAGCTGTAGGTGTGGAGCTTGACAATACTGGAGCTATAAAGGTTTGCATTTTCCTCTTTCCATGTTTTGCTTGTTATCTTGAATGATCCATCATGTATTTCTGATTTAACTAAGAATGAGTTGTCCTCACCTCATTGATCTGTATAATATACGAATACAATGTGATTCTGTAATCCTAAAGTCATGATCTTCTTACTTGGTTATATATGACTATTTTCTACCAGAATTATCAAATTGTGTTTATCAAGGAGAAAATACAGCAAACACAAATGCCATAATTTGATTATCATGTTGATTAGTATGCTGTTGTGCTGTGTTATTATGCAAACCCCATAGGAATTATATTTATAAAGTATAATTGAATTCATATATTTAATCTATATACCTCTCAAGTATTAAACAGACCCACATCTGCTCAATCTTATACATTCTATTGCTATACGTAAGATGATTTTCACCTGGAGGCAGAAGTTAGAGGCTCCAACTTATGTGGTATCCTGACTTGTATTTTGGCAATACATAGACAGATTATGTGTTATTTAATTCTGATAGGACCCAGAAGAATAAATGGGAACAGGGTCAAAATTAGTTACAATGTTGAATGTTTGTTTAGTTAGTTGCCTATAGGATCTATCAAGGAGATAGGTAGTTAGGCACAGGGGGTTCAGGATTAAATAGTAGGAGCAAAGTAGGTGGGAGGAATTCCGAATTTAGAATTGAGAACTGAGCTAAGACTCTACTCTGAAAGGGGCAACCCTTTGTGAAGGGGAACTATTGTGTATAATTCAGTAAACGATACCAAAATATTCTTCTCCCTTGCCTTTCTCTGGTTTTCTCATCTCACTCTGAGCATCCCTTTGTGAAGGGGAATTTCTGTGTTCATAACACATTCCTTCCCATTTATTTCTTCATCTCAATATGATGTCATATATGAAATGCTTTTGTCAATGATCAAATGATGGATTGGACAAATAGTGAAAACTAGAGAATGACTATGCCCTCATAAGTTCTAATTTTTTTGCTTTCTATTTTTAGGTTGATGAATACTCACGCACTAACATTCCTAGCATATGGGCTGTGGGTGATGTTACAAATCGAATGAATCTTACTCCAGTGGCCTTGATGGAAGCATCATGCTTTGCAGTAAGTGTTCGTAGTGGAGTAATACCTCTTTATCTTTGTGATACTTGTGGAGCAGCTGCTGGCAGTAGTTTAATCTTACAATTGTGTTGACTCATCGATGTCTATCTTGTTCCTCTATTTGCTGTATGTAGAAAACAGCATTTGGTGGCCAACAATGCAAGCCTGATTACAGCAATATCCCATATGCGGTGTTCAGGTATTGTTGGTTTTGCATGACTACTTGGCGGATATGAACTATTTTGAATGTGACAAATCATGATAATATATGTCCGTCCCTTCTTAATGTTACAATAATATTGCCCCTACTTTCTTGTTCTGCAGTATTCCACCACTTTCTGTAGTTGGTCTCAGTGAGGAGGAGGCAATAGAGAAAGCAAATGGTGATGTGTTGGTTTTCACGTCAACCTTCAATCCTATGAAAAATACCATCTCTGGGTATGTGTTGTGATTTTAGAATTTTCAGGCACTTGGCATTTATTGGAAACCAATGACTTGCAGAATTCGTGGTAACTTGGACTCTAGAACACGAGTTTTTACAGAAAATATCCTAGGCACATTGAATTTATCACCTTTGAGCATCCAGTTCTGTTAATGTTCTTGTTCCATCAATCGTTTAAAGTTTTTGTTTATTTAAACCGTGGAACATCTTTTTTTGAGAAGTTAATAATCTAAATTTTCTAGCTAATCTGGATTTTTCTCACTGATGACTCCAAGCTTTTCAATACTCCGGTGGTCTTGGCAATAGTTATATTTGTTGCATTCTGTGTTTCTATGTTATTATGTCAAATGCTTATATTTTTCAAATAGGCGACAAGAAAAAGTTGTTATGAAGCTTGTTGTTGATGCCAAGACAGACAAGGTTCTTGGAGCATCCATGTGCGGGCCAGATGCTCCTGAAATTATGCAGGTATCTTAATGCCTTCATACCGGCTGTTATCTATGAAATGTCAATTTAGTGTTTTCTTATGTTTTTCATTAAATTGTTAATTGTATAGGATCCTTTCTATTTTTCTTTTAGTACATTGTTACTATGCTTCTCTGGCAAACTCATTGTATTATTGTTAATAGAGTAAGCATTACCCATGATATTTCTATCATCTAGATCAATTGCATTAGTATGAATTATAATACAAGTGGGCTATGCAGTGATGGAATGAGTGCCTCTTTACGAATTGCTTAGGTATTGTATCGAATATGACATGTACCTTGCTGACTCTATCTTTTTGGGTTCAATGAGATAAGCTTCATGAGTGATGTAAGAAGATAATGGAACTATAATTTAAGGCCTAGGGTTCTCACAATAACAATAAGTATTCATCTTATCCTTTTTGAAATGAGTAAAAGTCTTTTAAGTATAGCTGGAGAGAAGTGTGCAGAGAGTGTCAGGGAAGTGTTAACTGTTGGTTTCCGTTTCATGTCTTACCCTTGATGCAGTGTTGTGAATCGTGTGATGGCTACATGAAGCTTGGCTGTCAAAAAATAAAATAAAAATTATCAACTCATACGAGGGCATTGAGGAAGCAGAAAAACAAATAAAATACATCCGCAGTTTTAAATGCTTTAAACACACACACACACAGAGAGAGAGAGAGAGAGAGAGAGAGAGGAAGAAAGAACTAATGGAAATTTAAACAACAATTATTAGAGGAAGAATCGAGATGAAAGTTTGCTGATCGAGGATTTTGGGATGGGTGATGAAACATCTGTTGACAGAGGCTGTTCACTGGGCCTTTTAGCTTATGTGGACAGTTTTTGTGTAGAATATCATTATATTCAGCACCAGTAGATATAGGCTCTGTATTGGTCATGCCAACTTGAGTCATCTATTATCTGTCTCAGTTATCATTTATACAATCATTAATTATTATTCACACTACTCTATCCCTCACGCAAATAACAACAATGTCCATTATATATCTTTCTTTATTGTGTATATTTTGTATGCTATGCCCTGGTGTTGATGCACCACATGCCTCTAGAAGTTATTGTTCTTTGTCTCCTTGCTGTATTTCATTTGCCAAGATAGTTTATACTTTTAGTTCCTGATATGGATGTTGGTGATCGATAGGGTATAGGCGTTGCGTTGAAATGTGGAGCTACCAAAACACAGTTTGACAGCACAGTAAGTTTACAGTTTCTTGAATCTCTTTATATTGTTCTTTTTCCCAGGGCAGCTGTTGGATATTGTCACTGCTAGAGCAATGTCCTAAAAGCATATGCTAACAACTCAAATATTTGGTACCCGTTTATGTGGTCTTGCCATTATTGTTTAGAGCATGGGCATTGCAAAGTACTACTTGTACAATGGTTATTTTGAAAATATAGTTCGATAAAGAAAATAGCATGGTCGGTAGGGATGGCAAAAATGAGCTAATCCATCGGATTGACTCGTAATTCGAATAAAATGAGCCGAGTTGGATTGGCAAAAATGGGCTGACAACCTGAGCCAGCTCGAAAAAAATCGAATCAACCCGCGGGTCAAACTGGTCAGCTCGCGGGTTATCCTTTTTTCTATTTATTAAAAAAATAATAAGGTTTGTTCATAGAAAGTAGAAACCTTTTTTTATGTAAGTTTATGTTTAGCAATTTTAATTACTTTATATATCATATTCATTTTTTTTAAACTTTAATATATTTTTTATCTTCAATTATCATGTTTTTTCAAAAAAATTAGGCTATTTTTTCTAATCAATCCTAACCCGGCTCATTTTTTTCGGGTTGCAAACGGATTGGACCGAGTCAAGCCGAGTTTTGCCATCCCTAATGATCGGAGACGAAATTACCTATATCAACATGTAATAAGTCTTAAAATTGACAATGGTTTAAATCTTCGGAGGGCAAACCCAAATTTTCCACACTAATGCCACAATTAAACTTGAACCATATATAATGTAAAATGAATTCTAGATTCTGAATTCTTACAAGACCAATGATGCTCCTATGGAGTGAATGTTGGGCATTTAAGTGCCAACAAGAGGGCGGAAAGAGAGAGGATGGTATTTTTTATTTTTTATTTTTTATTTTTTATTTTTTATTTTTTTGGGGGGAAGGGGGGATTGATGGGAAGGCTGAGGTGGAGGATTAAGCATACGTGAAAAAATCACGAACAAGAATATGCAAGGGATAGACGGAGTAGGATCTATTGAGAATAGAAACTCCAATATGGAAATGGATCAAATGGAAGATGAATAATTAAAAGGGTAGAGGAAAGCCTAAGAAAACATTTGGAGAAAGGACCTTCCTCGAAATGGTTGCTATTGGTTTTTTATAAAGCTCCATGGCGATAACAAAGCTTGGTTAATGTTGTGCTGATAACAAAGCTTAATTATTTAGTTCGACTGGTTAGTATTTCAATGGCCACAAAGTTCCCAACCCGGTCCATAATGCAGTTGATTTTAGCCCCAAATTCTCTATCCCAGCTCCCTTTTTGTTTTATGCTTACATTTCGCTAACAGCATCGCTTGACTCTTTCCTCTAGGTGGGAATACACCCATCTGCTGCAGAAGAATTCGTTACCATGAGGTCAGTGACAAGGACTATTGCTGCTGGCGGCAAACCTAAGACAAATTTATAGAATTTTTATAAAAAAAATTATGATCAGTCTGTACAAGCATAGATAATTAAAACAGTATCTATTTTGAATTTCCGAACCTAAAGGTTATTTTGTTATTGTTATTGTTATTTACAAATTGCATTGCTCAAAATTCAATACTGAATGCTGCTCAATTCGTTAACAATGAGTCCGGACTGGTATATAAAACTTCTGATGTGTTCTTAGTAATTGGTCTTTTTTTAACTCAAATGCTCCTTACTTTTGAGTGGCAATATAACTCGTCTGTGAAACACCGTTGACATTTTATTCGGAGGCCCTCATATTTTACTAAATTGGTTATTTAAGTATCTAAAGCTCCTTAATATTGAGTCGCTCAATTGAAGAAGCCTATATAAGATACGAGTTCAGTACAATGTATTAAATTGAGCTCGATTTACTCGAAGGACTGGGACAGTGGGAGATCCCTAACGCTTGCTATAACGGCCTTCCTGAAGTCCTTGATTTGCCGTTATTGTCAGTGGCGTAGATTTTTTTTAATGGTCGAATAGTATCAGAAGATAACAAAGTTCCCGGCGAAGCATCTACAAATTAATAGAACATTACATAATTTTGTGATTTAACAAATCACAAAGTTTGTGGGAAAAAAAAAACCTAGTTCGGACAATGGTTAAAATGTATGTTTGAGTATACTGAGAATGGCATATGGTCTAATTCATTTTAGACATTTAGAAGCACGTGAACCATTCAATCCATTTTGCAATTTGAGGTTTCCCTGATAAGCTTTATTAAGTTCTGTAAGCTCCAAAGCCTTAGTCTTTTCTATTTCTCAGTTTTGATAATTTAACTAACATAATATACTATTTTGATAGTTGCGCTAATGTTCACTCAACCAAGAACAAAAAATAAAAAATATAGATATACAAAATTTTGCTATGCATCATATTGATAATCATATACCCCAGTGAAACGATGAAGAAATGTATGCCATACCTATAGCTTAGTTTTCCCTCCACAAACATCACAAAGAGTATACCCTAGGCCTTCACAATATGGGCACTTTGTACCCTCATCTATCCATTCCAAAAACTGCATAAGAGAACTCACTGGTAAGTTCAAAAGCTTGTGCGACATAGGAAAATAACTGCAGGAGTAAATTTTCTTTAAAAGCTTAAGTATTCCTTACTTGAGGTTCGAGATTTGGCTCGCCAGTTCCATCACATTCTGCAATTAAACAAATAGAAGTTGACTAAGATGTATAGGATAATACATTTAGGAAACCAGTATCATACACATGTTAATCTGTCAGAAACTAATCATATGATTTTCCTTGTCATGGTTACTATAAGAAACCTGACTCTGAGATTAAACCGCTTCAACTAACAATGCTTCATTGAAGTATTCGAATAACTCGTGTGGATAGGGATTTGGAAGAGGTCTAGTCAACAAGCTGAACTTACGAAGAAAAATGAACACACAACAAAAATCTAAAGAGTGGCTAGACAGTATATAGAAAATCTATGAGGAATCCTAGGGAAAACGAAGACAGTAATGAGTGGAATTGGAATTGAACAACATTGTCTAAGGAAGGAAATTGCGGAATCTAAGGCATCAAAGGAACCAATCACTGAAGAGACAGATGATGCTATGATAATAGAGCCCTTAGATTGTCATTCAAATATCAATATTGTGATAGTTTCACCAAATGATTGTCCTAATGATAAGCATATTGATAACTGCCAAAAGAAGGTCAGTCAGTCAGAAATAAAGGTAACTTACTTCCACTTTCATAAGGTCAGTCAACTAGTGGGACAGACCGTTTATCTATCTTCTATAATTTTAAACATGCATGATGAATAAGTATCAAAAAAATAAAAAATGCATGATGAACGCCAAGTAACATTTTATTGCTATCTCAGCCAATAATTACTTTTACTTCAAAGTCCAAACAGTAATATAGAGAAGGCAATGAGTACAGGACGAGGTTTGAGAAAAAATTACATTCCAGAAATACATGTTACTTTTTAGGACCTGTTTTGTTTATCGGAGCTTATATCAAATTAAAAGTGAATTCACAGTGAGAATTATCTTCCAGAACAATGATCTATGAAGATACTATGGGATAACGGCAGTTACATTAAAATATAAGGACTATTACATACCTGTACACAACAGGCGACCTTCCCCGTGACATTGAAGGCATTTAGTTGTTGCATCCTTGTTCTTGCTCCTATCAACTCCATCACGTGCAGCAAGTCTTGAGGGTTCTTCCCACCTATTCTCTCCAAGGAGGAAAACTCTCGGATGGGAGGCTTTGGTTCCTTTATCACCTTTCCCAACAACTTTTTGCTGAACGTCTGAAATTTTTGTTACAGAAGCAACTGCAGCTCCATTTTCACCATCCTATAACTCCAAGAATGATAAATATTCAAATTCAACAGTTTTTATATTTTGTCTCTTCACTGTTTTAGAGTGGGATATAGATTAGCGGACGGTGTGCCTTAGAACGGAATAGAGAAAAACTATTACTATAGTGGATGGTTAGACCCGTTGTTATTCCTATATTCCATATGGTCCCTTTTAAGTCCTTTTCCTCTTCATCTTCCCCCTCTTCTTCTTTTTTCCTTCTTTTCCTTTTATCTCTTTTCCTCTTCCTCTTCTTCCCCTTCGCCATCTTCTTCTTCTTCCTCTTCTTCTTTTTTATTTTATTTTATTTTTTTTACACCCCTTTTATTTTTATTTTTATCCCTTCGTACCTTTCATTTGGATTCATCTACCACCGACCCCAATTAGTTTGGGATAAAGGCGTTGTTGATGTTGATTGTTTTAGAGATATAAAATCATTCTTGGACCTCCACTTAAAAGTTTAAGCTTTTAGGATAATTTGTCCTTGATAGCTGTCAACTAGTGAAAACACTTTTGAACTATCAAAAACCAAAATTTCAGCAAGAACATATCATAAAACTAATGCAGAAAATTCACATAAAAGAAAAAGATCCAAAATTTATGTCTTAAAAAAATCATAACAAAAAATATATTTTCGATGCTTCGGCCTAGCATTTATCTCCCATTCCTTATTCATACTTCCATCAAGAATACACAAACAATCCCGTTTAGTTATGACTCAGGAAATACATGGTCAATCCCCTAGAACATGGGATTAAAGCTACTACTGTTTTTGGTCAGCAGCATTTAGGATAAACTATCAAAACTTGTTGCAGGTTCTCAACACACGAGGGAGCAAAAAGTACATCTGATATAACCAGCATACCTTTGGTGAAACAATAGAAGATTTTTTGTTCTCATTAGCACTGCCCGTGTCCATAGTCCTTATCGCCAAATATAGTCTTTCTAGAAGTTCGGCTGTCATGATACCATCCTCAGGGGCACCTAATGCAGCCTGTTAAACAATATCATATTTACCCATCAATCAAAATCACGAAAACGAAAATGCTTAAGCATAACATAAAATATAGGACAAACTATATTTATTTACTGAAATAGTCATTTTATAATGAAAATTAATCCAAGAAAAATTTTCTTCTCTTCACATCAAAGCTTCATATATTATGCAAAACAAGACTAACTTGCCATGTCTTCACAGCACGCTCAGTTCCACTTGAGAAGCTGGAATACTCCATGTCTTCCTCACCTGAGTAAAACCCCAATTTCAGCAACGCTTCCTGTTATAGCACAGAAAATTTTCAGCGCAAAAAGTAAGATTACGCAATGCACCAATTATCAGCACCATCCACACAAATCGCAACGAATCAATTCCCGTAGCAGTAATAGATATCATTTTATTAAATTAAAAAAAAAATCCGAAGAAACAAGTAGAAAAATACGAAATCTAACCTGCATCTCTCGAACCTCTTCTCCTTCAGAACCTTGTCGCAAAGCGATCCTGTTTTCAACCCTAGCAGCAGCCTCCTCAACCACCAGAACCTCCTTTTCATGTTCAACAACCTCTTCGGATTCCTTCTCCTCCTCAAGCACCATACTCCGCAGACTCGAACCACTCTCTAGAACCAAATTCTTGTCCTTCAACACCTGCAACAACGACGTTACGTTCGCAATCGAGTCGGAGACAGAAGACGAAGAAGAGGACAAATCGTGCTTCAAAAGGCGGCGTTCTAGGGCTTTGATTTGGAGCTTAAGGTCAGAGATCTCTCTGAGAAGCTCGTCGCGGTGGCGGAGCCATCGCTGCTCCTCACGAAGCCACCGCTGCTCCTCGCGGAGCCACCGCTGCTCCTCGCGGAGCCAACGGTGCTCTTCGCGATCGGAATTGGAACAGTGGGAGATGAAGGAATTGAATTTATAGGAGAGGAAATGAGGTTTGAGAAGAGGAAGGGTTTTGTTGAGAGAGAGAGTGGGACTCACAGTTACGGAAAGAGGTAGAAACAAAGACATTGTGAGTTGTGAGTAACCGCGCCTTCGATGATGGGAGCCATCGATAACAAGATATTTGTTATCTTCAGAGAGAGGTTTAAAGCCAGAAGTTTCAATAAAAATTAAAATATTTAAATTTAATTCGGAAAGTTTTGCTACCAGGTGGCGGGAAACCAAACAACGTCGTTTACTATTTTATTTCTTCTACTGTTGTTTACGTGATAAAAATTCTTATTGTAAATTCAATTTTTTTTTTTGGTGAATTCGGTAAATTCGATTTGCAATTAGGAATATATTTTTTCCTTTTAGCAGTGCACTCAATTAGAAGAATAACCAAACTCGTTTGATCGATTAATAAGAACCATAAGGGTTGTTTGATTGTGTTTTGATTTTTTTTTCTTAAAATAATTTATAAAAGAAGGAAAAATTCGTTTGATAAATTTATTTTAAACAGAATTTTAAAAAATTAAAGAACAAACAAAATTTGCTTGATAAATTTGTTCTCAGAATATGTTTTCAAAACAATAAAATAAAAAAAGTCGTTTCATTGGTAATTTTTTTCTTCTTGTTAACTTATTTTAATGATGTTTATAATTATATGTAAAAACTTACATTTATTTCAATGAAATATATTTTTAATATCAAAACAAATTATATTACAATTCTTTTTTAAGACCAATGCAAATTATATTACAAGTTAATCTTTAAGCTGGTATCTTCCACAAAATTATTATATAAGTTGCTCTATGCCCATTAACTATAATTGTAACGGCTTTTTTACCCTTATAACCATTTATTATTAATTAATTACCAATTTGACCTTGATTATAAACTATTTCAAAAATTTAACCCCCTCAAAAAACATAACACCAATCTGCCCCTGTTTGACCGTTGACCACCAAGCCTACCCGGGTACACCCCTCTGTACCCGGGTATTTTTTGAAAATTTTTGTCTACCGGGTAAGGAGGGGTGTACCCGGGTAAATCTTCAACCACCCGGTATGATTACTCTTTGGATCTCCCATGCACTCTTCTTCTCCAAGCTTTGAATATGGAGGCACCGACTATCACGTGCTCTGCCTCTGCAACTTTTTTGGGTCTGTAAAGCACACAAATATTTTTCAATGATTATTTCAGAAAGAGAATTCTCAGTTAACAGTATAAATCCACAACCACAAACCTTGTCCCATGCATGTCTTCCCTGAACGTGATAATTCGTCATTTACCAGTAAAATGAAAAGCTGCATGCTCACACTAAATTTCTGTACCATGAACCCTGTCTTTATTTTCTTTCCGTCTCACTCTCCCCAATAGACCCGATACCACATTTATATATAGGAGCGCGATTTTGACGTACATAAAAGTAGACCCCATCATAATCGATACGAACAGGGACCGCTTTGATGAGCAGTAAAGTGTTGATGTATGGAAATTCCAAATCCATTCTCAAAGCTAAAAGCTCTTCAAATTGGTTAGGCATGCTTAACTTGATAATACTGATCTATCTCATTAGCTGTAAAAAAGAGAGAAAAAATACCAAATGGGTGGTCGAAGATTTACCCGGGTACACCCCTCTCTACCCGGGTAAATAATTCAAGCAATTTTTCAGGTACGAAGAACAATACCCGGGTACACGCCTCCCTACCCGGGTAGACAAAAAATTTCAAAAAATACCCGGGCACAGAGGGGTGTACCCGGGTAGGCTTGGTGGTCAACGGTCAAACAGGGGCAGATTGGTGTTATGTTTTCTGAGGGGGTTAAATTTTTGAAATAGTTTATAATCAAGGTCAAATCGGTAATTAATTAATAATAAAGGGTTATAAGGGTCAAAAAGCCATAATTGTAACAGTTAGGATTTAATGGGCTAATAATCAACACATGCAAAAATTGAGTCACTTGAAAATTGCTTATCCAAAAATAAAGCTTATTATTTAACAAATCAAATCAGAAAAATTAAAAGTTGTTGTTAAGTTATACCCATATCCAATTCGCAATATAATTGTAATATGATGTCATTTTCGTTGCATCTTTATTATATAACCTTGATAAATTATCATCATTAAAGTTTATTCTCTCAATGTTAGAAGTTTCATTCATAGTCTCTATTTCTGTTGGATCCATGTCTTCTTACATTTTAAATAAATCGTCATGTAAATTCCAAATAATATTTTGTTTTATCTTATAGAACAATAACAAAAAATACTAACATCATACCAAGAAAAGGTTAGAAGTGGTGGTCAGTAAATATAAATGACAATTACACAATCCGAATATTAGATTAAGCACTTGCAGAAGATTATCAAAGTCAGAGATTAAAAAGGGGGGAAAAAAGAGTAACACTAGCATGGACGCTTAAATTTGGGAAACTGGTCAATTATGATCAAAGGCTCAAAGCCATTTCTTTTCCTCCCAATGATAGCGTGTTCGGCTCAGTTAGGGTCTCTCTCTCTCTCTTTTTGGTAGAAAACTTGTGAGTTGTGAGTTGTGACAATGTGACCACTTGTCCGGATGCTCTTTTCAATTATCTGTTGCAATTTTAAAGAATGGTACTACCGTCGTTTCCCTCTCTTCCTCCTAATTTTGTGCTTTTTATCATCTATTCCATCTAAAATTGCCAAACTAAATTTTAAAAAAATTGCAAAATTACTTTCGGGAGTCGCTTAGGCCCAACGTAATCTTGCAACTTATAACAAAATAAGTGAATATTAGTACATAACTTTAAAATAAATTATACTGAAAACTAAAACTATTCAGTATTCATATGAAAAAAAATCTCTTTTTTTAAAATAACAAATCACTGTAAGTCATGTCCAGTGTATTACTGTATCTATACTTTTTAAAGTGAGCGTCACCCATCCAAATAAGGAAATTGATGCTCTCTTAATTTATATGATCTGGTCATATACAGATCGTAATAAATTTTATATTTATATCTCTTTACTGATGCCAATTGAATTTTACTTATTTAATCATGGAAGGGATTCACTTATCATTATTTTTCTTATTATTTATTATTATTAAATTTTAATTATTAATTTTCATCAATCTAATAATTATAATTTATTAGGTCATATTTATTAATTAATTATTAATTCTAATAAATTATAATTGTTAAATTAACAAAAATAAATAATAATTAAATTAATTATAAGGATAGTAATTATTTATAGTGATAAATGGATCCTCCCAATTTAATATATGTAAAAATTTTAATATTGGAGAATTCACTTCATCCAAAATGCACATACGAAAAAGATACAATTAAAAGCAACTCCTTATATTGAATCCTTCATTGACAAAGTTTTTAAACTTAAACCTCGCTGCTGTAACTCTTCAAAAAAACAAATTACTAACCTGGAACCTTTGGGCTGAAATTGCAAAATCTCTTGCTCGCTCTTTGCATTAAAGAACAATCACACCCTACAGAAATCCTTTCTCTCCCTCTGTCCACAGACCACAATGGATCTACTTCACCAATACTCAGATGGCCAAAACAACGACGATCCAGACTCACCAATTCAAAACCCTAACTCCCCGGAATCGTCCCCACCCCGCCTCCTCCCAGGGCGTTCCGGCGCCCCACAGGTGGACGACACGATGCTGGCACTGACGGTTGCCACATCGAACGAAAAAACCCTGTCGAAGCCCATCGACCCGACGCATCACGCGGTGGGCTTCAACCCCACCTACGACCAGCTCTGGGCCCCCATTCAGGGCCCGTCTCATCCCTACGCGAAGGACGGCATAGCCCAAGGCATGCGCAACCACAAGCTGGGCTTCGTCGAGGACGCCGCCATCGAACCCTTCCTCTTTGACGAACAATACAACACCTTCCACAAATTCGGCTACGCCGCCGACCCCTCCGCCTCCACCGGCTACAATTACGTCGGCGACTTCGATGCCCTTCACAAGAACAACGCGATCTCCGTTTACAACATTCCCAAGCACGAGCAGAAGAAGCGGAAAATTGAGTTGAAGAAGAAGAAGGAGGAGGATGAGGAGGAGGGAGAGAATGATAACGACGGTGATAATGAGGATGGTTGTGAGATTGAAAACCCTGCTTCGGAGGTGTGGTTAGTGAAGAATAAGAAGAGCCCTTGGGCGGGGAAGAAGGAAGGGTTGCAAGGGGAGTTGACGGAAGAACAGAAGAAGTATGCGGAAGAGTATGCGAAGAAGAAAGGGGAAGAGAAGAGTGGTTTTGGAGGGGATAAGGGTGAGGTTGTTAAAGATAAGAGTACTTTTCATGGGAAGGAGGAAAGGGATTACCAGGGTAGGTCTTGGATTGCACCTCCTAAGGATGCAAAGGCTAGTAATGATCACTGTTATATACCTAAGAGATTGGTCCATACGTGGAGTGGACATACAAAAGGGGTTTCTGCCATTCGGTTCTTCCCTAAGTCTGGCCATTTGATTCTCTCTGCTAGCATGGATACCAAGGTCAAGATTTGGGATGTTTTCAATTCTGGGAAATGTATGAGGACTTACATGGGACACTCCAAAGCGGTTCGGGATATTTGTTTTAGCAATGATGGGACTAAGTTTTTGAGTGCTGGTTATGACAAGAATATCAAGTATTGGGATACTGAAACGGGGCAAGTGATATCCACTTTCGCCACGGGGAAGATCCCTTATGTTGTGAAGCTTAATCCGGATGAGGATAAGCAGAATGTTTTGTTGGCTGGTATGAGTGATAAGAAGATTGTTCAGTGGGATATGAATACGGGGCAAATAACTCAAGAGTATGATCAACATTTGGGGGCTGTGAATACCATTACATTTGTTGATAACAACAGAAGATTTGTTACTTCCAGTGATGACAAGTCCCTCAGGGTATGGGAATTCGGTATTCCTGTGGTTATAAAGTATATTAGTGAGCCGCACATGCACTCCATGCCATCCATTTCGCTTCACCCCAACGCCAATTGGCTCGCTGCACAGAGCTTGGATAACCAGATTCTTATTTATAGCACCCGGGAGAAGTTCCAACTTAATAAAAAGAAGAGGTTTGCTGGACATATTGTGGCTGGATATGCATGCCAAGTCAATTTTTCACCGGATGGACGTTTTGTCATGTCCGGAGATGGTGAGGGCAAGTGTTGGTTCTGGGATTGGAAGAGTTGCAAAGTCTTCAGAACTCTTAAGTGTCACGAAGGTGTTTGCATTGGTAGTGTGTGGCATCCCCTGGAACAAAGCAAGGTAGCAACGTGTGGTTGGGATGGGTTGATAAAGTACTGGTACGTAAACTCTCATGCTATGCCACATTTAATTACAGAATCTTGTATGTGGTATGGTGTTCTTTCAAATATGCTTTGCTGTCATAGTTGCTGAATGGATACCATTTTCTTTGTTGCCAACTTGGATACAATAAGCTAATCCATACACACGCATACATTGTCCGTAGTTTATTTTCCTTATGACATCTTTCATTATTTTGTTTGATAGCATCAGATTATAGGGTCAGAACAGTCATAGTCAGTTTGTTGGTCTATGGGTGTATAATAGGAGGCATGGGAAGGTCAATGAGTAGAGATTTGTGTAAGCTTTTATTAGGTGAGGTCACGGAAGAAATATTTTTATCTATTACTCAATGGTTGGTTGGTTGATTCAATTCCATATCTAAAAACTGCAACCATGTAGCGGTCCTGCCCCATTGCATTATTCTTAAATTTCCTCGGATGTGGGATACTCAGGACCGGAATGCCATCTTGGGTAGAATAAGTATAACTAAGAATTCATAGTTCATAACTTCCGTCTCTGTTTATACTGTAAAAGGCCCCTTTTACCGGTATCATTGATTGCAATCTAGCAATGTAGGTCTGGTAAATTAAGCATTGATGTTGCCATTTGCATCATGATGTGCAACAGCGCTGTTAGACCTTGTTGCACCAGTGCATTGTGCGCCATAAATATTTTTATTTCACCTCACTGTTTCTGACTTATTTGCCTTTTATTTAATGGGATTAATGTTTCTCATATTATAGGAGATAAAATTATCTTATACACACACATAAAAGTGTGTGGAGCCCATGTGAGACCATGTAAAGAGAAGAGAGAGAAAAAGAAAACACGGGTCTCACATATTTTTATATGTGTAGAAGATAATTTTATCTCCTACAATATGAGAAACACTAAATCCCTTATTTAATAGTTGGTAATCAGCCTGTGTTCATTTCACCATCATTGGCTCTTTGGAGTCCTTATGTCTTAGTAGAACCTTGTTTATTTGTAAGATTTAAGGTCATAGCTTTAAGGGTTGATTATTATCAGCGGACATGTTTAATTCTGTGAATGTATATAACTTTTTTATGGTCATGTTCTAGCAATAGAAATTCAACATCGTTGACATTGGAATCAGTGTTTTCCTTATTTTGTAGCTGTGTCTGTCTTTTGCTAAAATGAATAGTTAAAAGTGCAAAATTGTGGTAGTATTTTGAAGCTCTAAGATTATGGAATTTGAACACCTCTTGATATGGTGATTTAAACATTTATAGCCTTGTTCACACCTGATAATATTATAATATGTCTTGAAATCTGCAGATTTCAAATTTATCCTGTTAATTCTACAAAATTGGCCCCCTTTTTCTAAATCAAGCATGATAGTAATGGAGCTGTTAGATATTGTCAAGCTCAAGACAGTCACTTTTTTAAGTCAATTGGAAAAAATAACTGTAGGAAAAATATGAACAGGAAGAGAAGCAAAGGTAATTCCGATAAAGATGTGGCAAATATATTCCAATTTTTACCTTAAAATTGAATGATTAGCCTGCCCTTTTTTTTTTTTTTTTAAATATAAAATTACTGCTACAGACGCATTTGAGAAAGTTACTTTTATAATATAAAATTCCCTTTGAGAGTCCTATAGCACTGAACTATTGATAAATCTTGTTAGATTAATACATATAAAAAATGGGCTTGTCGACTCTCATGCAACAGGAGGAGGGAAATTTCATGCTACAGACATATAATGGTGGGGCCCACCACTAAAAGAAAAAAAAAACCAAATGGTTGCACAATTATCAAAGGGTCAGTAGGAGGGGAAAATAATCTCTAGCAGCAGGAGAATTATTTTTCCCATAAAAAATAGAATATGATATAGAATAATTGTGAAGTGTGATTTGTTTTTTATTTGATATTATAGAAGTATGTTATGCGGTGGCAAAGGCACCTGTATTTTGGTTTGTCTAGCACTATATGATACACCATATGCTATGCCATAAGATAGGATTTGACATATTGATCCTGCTCTGGTGGATCTTCCTTGTTCTAAAATCAAAATTATTTAGTAATGGCCCTTTCCTGATAAAATTAACAGGGTGTTCCTCCAATAGCTTCCTTTCCATTTATCCTCGAATTGCAATGTTGATATGTTTATATTCTACTTGTTTATTGATGTGTACCATTGTGGCCGTAGTTGCATAAGGATTGATTTTAATCACATTCTACAAATATGATATCTGTACTTTATATACACGCAGTTGCACACACACACACTTATGCTCTTTGCCTTTTGCTTTCACTCTTTAAATCTCTCTAACATCACTAGTAGACTGTTTTGATTTAACTCGAGTTTCCGAATCTAGTTGTGTTTATTGAGGTCAATGTCTTTATGTTGGTTTGCAGGGACTAGTTTCTCATGTTCAATGATGCCTGTTGCTGGAATCAGTTGGCAGAAGCAGAGTAGACACTGCTTGACGACAAAAAGGAGTAGCAACATATTGTTTATACATGTTGATATGATCTTTCTTGGTTGAAATTTCAATGGTATTAGTTGAATATTATGATGAGGTTTCTGATTGATCAAGATATTGTCGCCAAGCATTTCGTGCTAATTGAAGTGTTGTACTAGCAGAACATTGAAAAATTTTGCGATGTTTTTTAGAGACTGTATAATAGTTATTTAAGTTAGATATTCATCTATGCGAAAATTTGTCTCATGTTGCAGTCCGGTGTGGGATATTGGTGGTTATGAGAATTGTTGAATTTTCATATCTTGACAATTCCGTATCACGATGCTTAACTCGTTGTTGCTACGGTTTAACCTTATTGTCTGATTTAATTTCAAAGAAATTAAATAAGGAAAGGTTATGCTTGCCACGGATAAGTTTTTTTATTATCATTTTGAGAGTGAAGAGAGAATAAATTGAATTGATCTATTTGCATTTAAACAGGTAATTAGAGTGATAAATTTAAATTGGTCATAAGTATCATCTCCCCCCAATAAAAAATGCTTTTATTGAGTTAAGTTAATGAGCTTTCAACTTATGTAAATCAGAAGGATGGTTAAGCTGGTAACTTAGAAAACCGCAAACGGCTCTTAATCACGAACCTAAACAAAATCTGAGGATGGTATGTATCCAGAAAAGAAGCTTGTCAAAACTAGCTGGTGGGACTTCAGATTCCACACATGGTGATTATTGGTCCGATGTGGTTACTGGTAATCTGATCACCTCTTCCTTAACAAGAAAAGTAGGACTATTGATCAGTATGATGATGTCTCAGGGATGCAAACTGAGAGAAAATCAATTTCCTTTGCAAAAGTTTCGAAAACCACAAAGCATTCGTAGGGTTGCTAATCAACTTACTGGGCCGCCCTCTATTTTGAAGTGTTCTAGAGGCAGGTCTCGTATAGCAGATGGAAGTGCTGATGTGATGTCTTCTCTCCTAATCTTTGAGAAAAATCAAAATTTAAGCTTGACTGTTCTGACGAAGTATTCATGTATAGATGATTTGCTATGTTTTCTTCAGTGGGTAGCACAAGAACCCCAGGGCCAGGGAGATCATAGTTTCTGGCATGTTATCGCGGCACTTCCCAAGGTATTACACCTCTAACTCATTTTAATTCCTTTTACCCAAAATTATATTTTTGTTTGCAAATCTGAACCCGCAATCACTGCTTACACCCGAAAATAGTAATTGCAACTTAGACCAAGCTATATTTTATTGAAGTAATGTTATATTCTCTTAAAACATTACCTAATAAAAAATATTTTAAATGAAAAAGTAAATATATTTAATATCTTGAAAATATTAAAAAAATTATTTCTTTATTGAAAGAAAATTATTTAAGATATAAAATTATTCAATTTATACAATGAGTTTGTCTATTAGATGTGTAAGTAAAAGTATATATATAGTAAGTTAAAATCATAATCTACTTTAAACAAAATTAAGGGTGAATATACTCTTACTTACGCATTTTAAAAACAAGTTTACTTGGATACCAAAAAAAAAAGTTTACTTTAAAGAACTTTTTCTTAAAGGCCTACTTGATTTAAGGAAATGTTTTTTTTCTCTCGCTAATAATACAAAAATGGTATTTTGTTTTCACTAATAATAACTGGGAAATGTTATATTTATTTTCATTTTAATTTTAACACTCCTATTACCAGTTTGATTTCCGTTAAATCAATTTAAAATCAACGACAATTAATTTTTTCCTTTTTTTTTAACTATTAATTTTAAATTGATTCAACAATAACCAAACATGTAATAAAAGCGATAAGATTAAAAAGATGATAAGTATAATCATCCCCCTAATAATAAGCAATGCATACATTTACCAAAAATAAAATAAAATAAGCAATGCATACTTAACAATTTCTTAACTTGCTTTTTAAAATTTGTTTGAGCTTTTAAAATGATGCAAGCATCTAAATGAGACAAAATAAATAAAGTAACCATTAGATCCTATGTGAATTTGTGCTAAAGACAAAACTTACGTGACATCACACATGTTTAGTGCTATATCTAATGATTGTTATAATAGAAAATATAATTTATACAGCATTACTCAAACTTGTTTATCTCTTACACTATTATGTTTCTTCTAGATCACTCCAGGGAACTTAACTTACTGAAGCTACTATTCCCTGCAAGATCATTGGAGCTTGGACAAGTGAACTTTTTAAAAATCACTAAGGAAGAGAGAATCAGAGAAACAAACTATTTGTCCTAAATTAAATAAAATAATATATGCAGTAGGCCCAAATATTATATAGTTTCAAGAAAATTCTCAAGCAGGTGCTTCTCACCATGGCAAGCTATATGGCGAATTACATGCAAAACCCCACACATATCCCTTGAGTCGGTCACGCAGCTCAATTTTAAATATGTATTAAAAAAAAATCTAAATGAGTGCCACAACAAAACTGTGACACCCATGCCTTCTACACGAGAACCTAAATATTAAATTATCAGACCATTGTTTCCGTCCATGCCATGCGTAGAAGCATCTATTCATGGCTTTGCATTGAAGGCAAAACCAGATGCTGTGGCTGCACCTGCAAATCCAAACAGAATAAAAAATGTTATTAGTCTTAAGAGAAACTGAGACACGAGAGATGATCTTAGCGTAAAACTGAAAGCAAAGAAATCACACTTCATTCGCTTTGTTCGATCATTACTCTTAAAAACACCATGACCAACAATACAAGCCATGCTTATTATGATCTTCAAATAAAGAGGACTCCTACGATGAATCGTGCAAAAACAGCAATACTTATCCACCTGATTCTAGTAATAATGAATTATATTTTGGCTCATGCAAGAAAGCTATCATCCTAGATTTTTGCTGAAGGACAAAATAAAGACAAATATTCAGATCAACCAAGTCAACACAAACCTGAAATCACCAATGCCTTATACTTAATGGAAAGGTTAACTATGTCTCAGCTCTATGTTTGAACACAAGACAATTATAGAAAGAAATCATCTTCTAACTTTCCGTTTGTCACACAGACTCCAATTAGCCTTCCTGCATTTTACTTATAGAAAGGTGTATAAAATTATATATTTCTTTATCTTCTACAAAGTAATTTGTAAACTTTTAGACACCCATCATTCAACCTTACAAAAGAATCATACCAATAACAAATAGAACAGTTCTTTGGCTAATCCCCCCAAATATAAAAGCAATATACGGATGAAGTGATATGATCACAGCACAGTCTCCTGCCGAAAAAGAGTAAGGTAAATGAGCAATGAAAAAGACTTACCAAAACCTTGGTAATTTTTATTTTTTATTTTTTTTGGTAAATAAAGGACTAATATAAAACCTTGAGTGAAAAAAAAAACTTCAATTATGGCAAGCTTTTATCCCAACAATCTAAATGACATGAACCCTGGCACTTCCAACCAAACTAGCCCAAGCCTAAACAGGTAGAACGGCAGAAAAGATTCACCAAAAGAACAAAAAGCATCTTTCCATCACGGAAGGCCAGAAAATTCTAATTTCCAAACTGCTAAAATTTTAGGGATTACATGAACAAAAGGGATAAGGCTTGGTTGTTATTGTAGATGATAAAGGGATAAGAGAGATATACATAACACGGAAAATTCTAATTCTCCAAACTGCTAAAGGAACAAGAAGCAACTTTCCATCAGGGAAGCATAGAAAACTGTAATATTCCAAACTGCCAAAATTTTAGGGACTACATGAATAAAAGGAATAAGGCTTGGTTATAGTTGTAAATGAAAAAGGGAAAAGAGATCACAGTGACCTTTATAACCCTACACATTAATAATATAGGTCACTTACAAGTGACGTAAAAGTACGAGACCAACTCAATAACACAACAATACTATTAAACATGTAAACCCTAACTCCCCCTCAAAATGAAGCTAAGCCCTCATGTTGTTACAAATAAACACACTGAACGGAAGAAAACAGCTTAAGAAAATAATTGGGCACCATAAACCACAGTCTAAGAAAACAAGACATGAACCGCAATAAAATTAAAGAAAACAAGAACTGCTTCAGACAACTATAGAGAAGTACAGCCTAAGAAAAACAGCACTGCAGGAAAGGAACTGGACCGATGGAAGGATGCTTTACGAAGGAAAACTAGGCACGACACACCGTGGGGATACAAAATTACCACTAAAAATGTAGTGGGAAAAGGTAGGGTGATCATACCAACACAAAACTCAAAATCCATGAAATGAAACTACAAAATTTATTAGAAAGAAAAATATGTTTGGAAACCTCAAACAACAAAAATAACCTCAAATTTGGACTTTGGAGACCCCTAAACTTTGGGAACCACGTCCAATATGTGAAAAACAGAATCTGGCTCAGACCAGCTCAGTCAACAGGCACAATTAAACGTGACTGGGTTCAGACAACTAGCTCAGCCAAAAATGACCCCATCGTTGCTCAAACATGACTGTTCCAGGCTTCCATTTCCTAGCTGATCAGCAGCTTCTTTACACAATGGCAATGTCCATTTCTTGAAATGACAGCAGAAAAAAGTTGAAATAGTGATCACCAACAAAGGAGGATTTTCCCAGTAGAAATTGCTAAAACATATTGTCTTTTTAAGGGGGTTTGCCTAACAAATATGCAGAGGAATTGGGCAGCTTTTTGCCATTGATGTTTTTACTATTGCTAGTTATTTTATTTTTTTCCATTTTCATAATGGGGTACGGCTTATCCACCAAAAACTCCTTGTAAATTTCTTCTACTATAAAAAATAAAAACAAAAACAAAAACTTGTAACACAATTTTTTTCTCTCTGCAATAAAACAGACCAAGTGTAACTGAAATCACACACATTATTCTACTATGGTTTATCTCTTTTTCTCTCTGCTTTACATTATCATGATATCCAGAGCTTAGGGAGATAAACCCTAGTGTCCCACCAGCTTGGCACACTGTCAGCAGTGATTAAATACCTTCCTAGTGCCGTCTAATAGCATGTTGAAACAAAGAGTGTTTAAGATAAATTGTTTGTGTTACGTACAAACCCCTAACATATCTTTACTACTAATCTAGGTCAAGTACTAGTGCAGTACAACTACTACAAGCCCAGCCCAACAAAACAAAGAATATTATAGTCCTAATATTCTAATATTTAGTAATTTACGAGGTGCATAATTTCTATGAAATACAATATTGAATTTAGCTTTTATTCAGTGAAAGCAAGAAGAAGAAGAAGAATAGATGTCGGAGACAAAAATTTCCTACAAAAGGAATGAAGATGGAAACTGTAGTGTTTTTATAAATGTTGCGAGCATGCTTTTTGTTCACAGGGCTGGTGACTGGTGAGGAAAAGAGACCGAGAACAAACCAGTTAACTCAAGACCTGATGGAATGATGAACCCAGTTAACAGCTAAACAGTTTAATTAGAACAACAATTTGAAAACCAAGTCAATATCCTGAGACGAGAAACCTCACTCCTCTAATTAATCTCACAATCAACCAGCTATATTTATCCATAGTAGAATATATAATCCACTAAAGACAACAAAGCATTTTGAAAAGCAAAAGCTAATCCCGAAACTGAATTTTTTAGCATTAGACAGAAAACTGAAATTCAACTTAATTTTGAGAAATATCCTCAATAGTTTCCTATAATTTCATAAGATCACAAAACACTTTCATATTCTTAAAAGTCCAAATAACACTTATTCAAAACTCATGTGCTTTTCTAGAGCAATGATTTCCTACCCAAAAAAAGAGAGCAAAAAACAAAAAACAAAACAAGACAAAACAAACAAACAAAAACAAAACAACAAATAAACCTCTGAAGGAATATGTTTGAGGAAAAAGGCACCCAATTTGTATGTTTTAAGACACCAAGCATTCATCGAATAAAAATAAACAATAAGTTAAAATATATTGATTGCATGTCAATGTAAACCCACAACCACAAGATTAACATCAAGAATTTAAACGAACCATTATGATCATCTAAAAACTATGACCAGCTGGTACACAAGCACCAGTGGGAAAATATCAAACTTCCATGATACCGAACTTTTGCTAGCAAATATCAGTCCTCTTAAAGGAAACCAGAATACAACAGGGTTGACGTTACTCAGTACATAAAAAGCATGTCTTAATATTCAGATTAGCTAGTTTTGAATAAGAGTATGTCTTAATTTTATTTCTTGAATCTCCATAATTGAGCATGCGTGTGTTTGCTAAAAAAATTGAGTATGCATGCATTCAAGAGAGACAGAGAAAGAGAGAATATTACCTGGGAACTAATATAGTTCAGCGAACCCTGATGAACAAGCTGCAATCATAAACCAACAACACAGAGAAAGTACATATTAAGTAACGAACTAGGCCTTATTTACAACAACAAATCATCACCAGAACAAAACTCCAAAAAGGTTATGCAATCAAACCTGAGCATTTTGACTTGCAAGGCCTACTTGATCTCGTCTAGCAGATCCATCACCACTTCTAGCAGATCCTTTAGTGTCACCCTATCAGAATTCATAATTCACAACCATTAGCATTTCCATTGGCAAAATATTCCAAGGTAAATATCAAAATAATACGATTAAGCAGAGGGAAGGATTAACTAACCTCTAACTGTGATTATTGTGGACATTTCGAAAACATCGACGAAATAAAAAGGAAAAAGAAACAGTCAGATAAATATAAATCCATAAGGAGTATTATCAAAACTTCAACATTAAAATGAAGGGGGAAGCAAGAGAATTTAATGGATCCATTCATTGAAAAGGTCCCCCTACCCACCTCGCTCATCCAACCAAATACCCACCGACACCTCAATATGGAGAAGGAAATGAAAACTAGGAAGAATATATTAATCTTTTTTACGCATTATCTGGATTCTATACTTCATTATAGCCAGATGCATTAGATGAGGATTTAATTTAGATGATTCCAATTGTCTCCTGGGGCTCTTTCTACCCTTTACCCCATGTTATATATGAATCAACCAAAAATAAAAAATGAGAGAAAAAAAATAAAATTACCTCTCTGTACCTTGCTAGGTACACCTTAAGCGGCTCTATGTAGTCCTCAAATCCTAAGGTGGCCATCGCCCATAGCAAATCATCTCCATTAATGGTCTTTCTCTTCTCTTTCTGGCATTTCTCACTCGCCCTGCACGCCAAAATAATCATACCCAATTCACATAAACAACCTCTAATATCCTCTCCTCCAAACACCATATCATATCATATAATTTGGCAAAGCACAGCTCATTCATTCTAAGAAACCCCAAATGGCAAAAACTGCAAATTATTTAATTAATTTTTTTTATATATAAAAAAAAAAAAAAAAAAAAAAAACTTTTTTGACGGCATTTCAGGGAAAATTGAAATAGTTTGGGGATGGGACTCACTCGCTGGTAATAAAACTGATGAATTCAGAAACACATTCCTGCATGGTGTCTTTGGCATCCTTCGCAATCTTCCCATTCGCTGGCAATGCTTTCTTCATGATACGGCTTATATTTGCAATTGGCAGGTAACGGTCCTGTTCCCTTGCACCAGATGAAGAACCACGCGGGCTCTGTTCACCACCACTCTCATGACTCCCCCCAGCTGGGCTTGTTGGTGCATCCGCCATGCCACAAAACCCTAGAACATTCAATTCAATTCAAATCAAATCAAATAAACAATCACAACCAAGTGCAACTCTCAGTCATGAAATTTGCGTGTGTATAATAATAGACACGCATATATGTGTGTGTGCTTTTTTTTTTATATGACAGAATAGAGAGAGAAGTAAAAGTTGGAAATTAATGGGTGATGGAAAGTGAATGGTACGATCAATGGAGCAGAATTAAATGGTAACCTGTGTGAGTGTGAGATACAACGAAAATAGAAGAATTAGGTGTTTTTGTAATTGGCGCCGATAAGCCAATATGTGATTGGTGGAATTAAGATTCGGAAACCAATAGATGCAGACTTATACAGCGTAGAACAACAAAGGGCATTGATTTTCACTATTTCGTCTTAACGTGATTTCTACCGTTGATTTTTTTTTTTTTTTTTTTAAGGTTTTTTAATGTACTAAAAAGCAGGGATAGTAATAGACTGATGGCTAGGTTATCATAAATAACGAGTTAAAATAAGTTCGAGCATGTTTTCATTTGACTTGGCTTAGTCAAACGTTAATTGGTTTGAAAAGTCGAAAATGTCAAAATTAACTGCAACAGTGCGATTACTAAGTTTTCCTTTTAATTTACATAAATATTTTAAAAAAAAAATGTTTGTTTTTTTAGATAATTTGGAGATATCCTCACACAATTTCTTTTGGTCACATTGTTATCAGAGTATAACCCATAAAGCTAGTTCCTTATTAAAACAGAATGTGTATTAAATTACTGTCATCGGAGAAAGAATAAGATTAATTCCCCTTTAATGGAAAAATAGTTTCCCTCTAGTTCCATAATATTTGTTTTAAGCATTAATTAATTTCAAGCATTTAATATTTTTAAAATTTTTATATAAATAAGTAAAAGAAATACAAGCATGTATCTTAACATGAATAACCCCAACATGTAACGTTGAACTAGGCTAACAATTTATTAATATGTGGGCAAAAAAAATTAAAATATTACACTTTTAATAATTAATTATGAATTAGTAGCAGTTTAGAAATTATTTTTGAATTTATTGCAGTCACAAAAAATTAATAGTTTAATCGTAAAATTTTATAAGACCATAACTTTTGATTCAGGTATCCGAATGAGATAATTCTTTTTTTGATTCCACATAACTTTTGGAAATCTACGCAATGACATCTCATTTGATATATTTTATCTCTCACAAACACAATTCAAATTTACAACAATGATACTATAAAGATGGCACCAAAATGGATTAACTCATCTATAAATAATATGGCACCAAATTTCCTATTAAATACAAAACACAATCAGCTCCTATTAAATACAAAACGCAATCAACTCCTTTAACATTAAATTCAAAATTCAAATAACCACCAGCAAATTTATTTGAATTGGCGACAATCTGTAACCAACTCATAAAATTACAACGCAATCAGCTCCTATTAAATACAAAACACAATGAACTCCTATTAAATACAAAATGCAATCAACTTATTGGAGGTTATTTGAATTTTGAATTTTGAATTTAATGTTATAGTACCATTATTGGGCGTGAATGAGTGCAATATATTCGTAATTAGGTTCAAACGGCAACTTATTCGTAATTATTTATTAAAAAAGCAATATTTTAATTTTTTTGCCTCTACCAATTGTTTGAAAAAAAATAGTGCACAAGGTTATTTATTTAATTATTAAAATATATACAAATTTATATAGAATATATACAAATTTATATAATATTCTACCAAGTGTTTAGAATATTTATTTAATTATTTTCTTTATTAATATAGATTTTTAAATTAATTTTTGAGTTTAAATCACAAATTAAATCTTTATTTTGTTTTTCTTATTAATAATAATTTTTAAAATTTTTTGGTAATACACTATATAATACAATTACTGCAAATTTGAATTATGTTTGTGAGAGATAAAATATATCAAATGACATGTCATTGCGTAGATCTCAAAAAGTTATGTGGAATCAAAAAAAAGAATTACCTCATTCGGATACTCGAGTCAAAAGTTATGACTTTCCAAAGTTTTACATTTCATAAGTTGACTTTTTTTGCCACGTCTCAACACCAGATAATTCACGCCTAAATTAGGCGTGAATGCCTTGGGAGTCACGCTTAATTTGAGCGTGAAAGACTGCAATAAATTTGAAAATAATTTCTAAACTGTTACCAATTCGTAATTAATTATTAAAAGTATAATATTTTAATTTGTTTGCATGTGACCTAATCTAACATGTCACGATATGCTATTTCAATTTGGCTAGTTATCTCGAATTAACATCTTTAGTAGGGACTAGTGATTGAACTGGGGTCAAATCAAGGGTTTTCTATTGCTCTTGCATCTAGTAGTAGTGTGTGCTAGATAAAATGTTCCACATTGAGCAACAATGTATAAACAATACGCCTATAAGCGAGTATCGGTGAATTAAATATTGGAAATAAGAAAAATAATGTTGTAAGAAAGTTGTTAAGTTATGTTATAGAAATAGAGATTGTGGGACCCACACTTGTTTTGTTTTTTATTTTTTGAAAAGAAGTGTGGGTCCCACAATCTCTATCTCTATAACATAACCTAACAACTTTCCTACAACATTATTCTTCTATTTTCCTTAAATATTTTCTAAGTTTTGGGCAAAATTATAATACCGGTGAACGACAATATTTTTAATTTGTTTTCTTAATCTAGGAACATAAATTGTTAAATATAATGATTGATAAAATCGATTCATTTTAACTGTTTCAAATAATAAACCGGGTAACTCGGGAATACAAAATTATGAAAATAACAAAAAACAAATTTTTTTTCCTTACACACTATTTATTTAACGTATATATTGTAAAATGTATTATTATAATTAAATACACTATTCATTAAATATATGTTCTATCTTAGTGGGAAAAAATAAAAAATAAAAAAACTTATCTCCTAAGACAAGTACATAGAATAAATAATTGTCCAACGTACATTAACTCATCAAGTTTGTTATAAGTAAATGTTTCTTCGATTATCTTCTATCTAAGTCTCCTGCTTCTAGTCCTTTTAGGGAGCGTTTGGTATAAGAGAATTTTTTTTTAACCAAGTAAATATTATTAGTGGGAAAATAGTTGTAAAGTAAAATAAGTGGGAAAATAGTTGTAAAGTAAAATAAGTGGGAAAATTTGAAAAATGTTGTTTGGTAGAACGAAATATTACCAGGAAAATTGTCATAAATTTATTGAGATTATGTTTGGTTGAAAGTAAAAGAGTGATGAGAAAATTTGACAAAATTTCAAAAATACCCCCGAATATGATAAAAGACACTGAGCAAATAGAGGTTGTACACGTGAAGGCATCTTTTTACTTACAAAATTGCATTTGGTGACCAATTAAGTCGTTGGTCTTTCGCTTTCTATATCTGATCAAGTTCCCTCTTAGGGCCTGTTTGGAGCACCTGATAAGGAAGATAGGATAGGATAACTTATCATATCCTATTTTTATCTCTTGTTCGGTGGGTCAATAGGATATGATTAGCTTATTCTATTGCCTCATTTTATCCTATCCAGTACATGATTTCTTATCCTATTAAGGGAGCTGGGTTAGGATTCAACCGGATAAGATAATAATATTTAATACCCAATATATCCTCACGTTACCCAATATCCTCACTCTACCTAATATATTTGTATTTATTGCATTATATTTTATTTATTATTTTTTCTTTCTCTTTTTACATAATCTTATCAGATTCATAATCAGGTGCTCAACAAACACAGGATATGATATAGGCTTATCAGCCTCATATCATATCCTACCCTTATCAGCCCCATATCATATCCTACCATTATCCTATCTTGTCGACCAAACGAGCCCTTAAGTTGCTTGTTCTTGCTTTTTGACTCCATCTGAAGCAACCCATCATTTTTTCCCCTCTTTCTTGAGCTATTTGCTATGGTGGGTCTTTGTTTATTCCACTGGATTCCTTCTAATGAGCTTCAACTGAGAAGTGGGTTGTTGAATTGGAGTTAAACTTTTTGAAATTTGATATGGTTTCCACTGAAAGGTTGGAGCTTTGGTTGTTTAAGAGGAGAAAGGTGCTGGGAATTTTGTTCCAGATTGTTTTTAGATGGTGGGTTGTTCTACTGTTTCTTCGTCAAAAATATGACTTCCCTGGTTTAGAGGAGAGAGGTGATTGCAGAGGGGCATTTATGTAACAAAGTTGGCGAACGGAATATGACTTCCCTAGTTTTCTTCGGATACCACCTCGAAGGAGGTCTTCCAAAACAGTGATTAGTGTCCCATTTTACACTGATTTCAGCTTTTGATGGGAAAACACAATGCCATGCTTTATTTTTGAAACTCCTGTACTAAACACATCATTCTCCACTCCCCACCTTTACTTACCCATCTATCTCCTTAAAAACCATCTACCAAACACCCCTTAAGAGTTTAGAGAATCATAAAGAAGCTTAATCTATGAAATTTCAGGAGAATTCTTCATAATTTTTTGAGAAAATTCGATTCTTTTTCTAAGTAGGTTCCTTTATTTTTCGTAATGTTTATTTAATGATATTGGAAAGGATAATACGTACAACATTTTTTTTTCCTTTTAGCTTTTTACGGCCATTTTTATATTTGCTTAATCAAAATCAAATTAACGACTTTTATTTGATATTATTTTATAACTGTTAATTTAATTTTGATCTAATGATAACAAATGTGATTATAAAAAATTATAAGGAAAAAATATTGCAAATATAATCTCGCTCAATTATATTACGTAGTTTATATTCTAAAATATTTGAAGAAAAAAATTATTTAAAGGAAAAACCTCTGCAACTAAAAAATTTAGTCGAAACTCTTTTTGTTTACAGGGAAAGATATACTTACCACCCAAAAAATTTACTATCCTTATAACCAATTTAATCAATGTTGATTTCAGACAATTTAACGGTTATACTTTATTGAAAATTGCTGTATTTTACTTATTAATTAATTATTAATTCTCAATAAATTATAATCATTAGATTGACAGAAATCAACGGTGATTAAATTGATTGTAGATGTGATAAATTTTTTTGATGGTAAGTATATTATGTCCCTTTGTTTACACAAATAAAGGTTATTATTATAGGGGAGTATTATTTTTGGAGTTATGACAGAAATAATATTCTCTATAACAGACACAACTATAGATGGGAGAGAATAATTTGATAAGAAAAAATGTTTTTTTGTGTCTGTGACAAATTTTTTTTTTTTTTTTATTGTAACTGCAAAAATGATACTCACAATTTAGACTTCTAGGGCGAACACTATTTAAATGACCAAAAAATTATAAATTACAACACATAGTCTTAAGCAACAAATAAATTTGAAGAGGACGATTGCCCTCCCTAACTCCTCCTTCACTCCACAACTAACTGAGAAATTGTTAGATTCCATGTCTATTTGTACTTCTTTAATATTTTGTGTCCAAAGCTATCCTATTTTAATAAAATAGCATTTTTATATGGGAAAACATTTTTTCATGTTGCATGATAATTCAATTCACATGTTGTGACCCTTCGATTTGCGTGCAAAACTTTTCTTTTCTTTTTCTTTTTTTTAATAAATGTGGGACCCACCACTAGTTGAGTCACAACATGAGAATTGAATTTTCATGCAACATGAGAAAATCAAACCCCTTTGTATATATATATATATATATATATATATATATATATATATATATATTTGTGTACATTTGTATAATTTCATTAACTTAAAAAAAAATATTTTAATAAAAATTCCATAAAATAGCACAATTATCCTATAATCATGTCTTCTTTTATTTTAATTTTTTTTATAAAATCAATTCTCTTATAACTTTTTTCACTAGCTAAAAAAATAGAACATCGCCCCGTCAAATTAAATTCTATGATTGACCTTGACAAGTAATTTGGTGTAAGAAAAATATTCTGAAATAAAAACCATTTTAATATTACTACCCTTATTAACTTTTCCCTTATACCAAATGATAAAAAGTCTGAATTTTCCATCTTTTTAGCTCCTAAATTTACTAAGACCTTTGTATTAAATAAATAAATAAATAAATAAATAAAATTTACCAAGACCAATAAATAAAGAAAATAAATTTATTTTTCGCAGCACATTTTTAAAGGAGGGAAACCAAAAGAAAAACCGGTTCAAAACTGGAGAAACGATAGTCCTTGGCGCTTCCTATGTGCACGAAGCATATTCTCTCCTCGCAGTAGTGGCAGTGTTTGACGTTTTCGTTGTGGCACAGAAATGGAAGAACAGCAAAGTGGTCGAATCTGCTCGTATTTCAGTGCTGCAAAGCCACTTCTTCCTCGAAAAAGAGGCCCTGACCTGTAACTCCCTCTCTTATTCTTCTTTTTCTCTATATGTTTATTTTCTCAAATATGATTTTTCTGTTTAATTAGGTTTTAAAAATTGAATCTCACAAAAGAAAAAATAAAATAAAATCCAACACATTTGCAAATGCCTGCTCACACACGTTAATTGGCAAATTTATTTCGTTATTTGAAACTGCACATTCTGATTCCATGATCTGTTGTTCTTTCTAGAATCAAGAGTGTAGGTGATTTTGATGCCACGGCTAGGGTTTCCGTTGCCAAGAGAGTTTCTCTCGCAGAGGTGGCGTTTAACAGGTGCAATGCATTAGGGAATGACCGTGGTCCTTCATATGATGCTGCTCATAGCAGTTTAAGTGCAGGGACAACGGCTGCTCCTGTATTTAGTGCGGCGAAGGAGAATTCGGGTCGATCATGTTTCGAAACTCCAAGGAAAGAACCTGAAGACACTAAACCTAAACCGCTGGATTATTTTTCAACCATTGACCTTGTGGATGATGATTTTGATGACTCCATTTTGGAACAAATTGACATTTTGTGTGAGCAGAAGTCTGCAGAGAAAGCAGCGGGGCAGGAGCTAGATCATTTTCTTGAGAGAGTTTCAAGTGAGAACAATATGGTTGGTGATGTTAATTTGAGTTATGGATCTAGCACTGTTTCTGAGGGTATGGGAAGTTGTGGCCTGTTTGGCTCTGGGGTTGATTTAGATCATAAAGAAGAAGAAATGGATACTACAAGGAAAAGTTTACAAAGTGGTGCCATGCCTGAGGAGTATTTAAAATACTTGCAATCCCTGAATGACAGGCAAAGAGAAGCAGCTTGCACTGATATTTCAATCCCTTTAATGATTGTAGCTGGTCCAGGAAGTGGGAAGGTTTTATTCAACTTTACTTCTCTTCTTGGTCCATTGCTTGTAAACATTTTCTTTTTCCTTTTAGTATTTGTTTTTCATCTTGGAGCTGAATTGTCTTTATTTATTTGTACCAGACATCCACAATGGTTGGACGTGTTTTGATGCTGCTTAATGAGGTTGTGCAGTTTTTTTGTGCTATAAGATATAGATACTGTATATCTTTGATTGTTATCCGTCTTTCTCTATCTTTCTGATTTGATGTGTTTTTACCTTTTATATTTAAATGTTATTGTTGAGATATATAAAACCATTAATACAGCTTCACCCAATAGCTTAAGCTTTTGGGTTGAATTGGTTCTTTACATGGTATCAGAGCCTCGTGTCCCAGGTTCGATCCTCACCGCCTCCCACTTCCTTTCAAGTGGAATTTCTTTCTTCGCACAGGTAGGTGGGCCTGTGCATTGTCCACTCTTCAAGCCCAGTGGGCTTTCGTGTAAGGGGGCGTGTTGAGATATATAAAACCATTAATATAGCCTCACCCAATAGCTTAAGCTTTTGGGTTGAATTGGTTCTTTACAGTTATTGCTCAGTATATTGTTTATAATTTCCGTTGGCTGCTAAACGTGCAGGGTATTAGTCCATCAAACATTCTTGCAATGACATTTACAACAGCAGCAGCTTCTGAAATGAGAGAACGTATTGGAGCCATAACTGGGAAGGCAACATCTAAAGAACTTACAATCAGTACTTTTCATTCATTTTCCCTGCAACTTTGCCGTTCACATGGAGAAAAGTATGTTGCTCTTAATTTGATTGGGATTTTCTCTTAATTTTCTGCTTATAAGTTACAACTCATGTGCTTTTATGTATTGTGTTTTAATTATTAGAGTCACAGTTAATTTTCTTGCTATTTGAAAATTTGAATACTAATTGTGGAATTTGTCATAATTGATAATCCATTAATCAATTCAAAATCTGACAACCCATTTACTGGAATGGTATGCGTAAAATACATTTTGTTTCCATGAATAACTTAATGTGCTCAGAATAAGTTAGCAGAAATAAAACAGCTAGTACAGTTTTAAGGGAAATTTCATATATTTAAAATATAATGACATCCTACATTTTAAGAAGCAATAAATTCTATTTGATACATATACTTCAAATGACCAGATTTTGCCAAACTTTGCTGAAGTTTAACTGCAATATTGATAAGTTGAATTGAGAGAATGAAAAACTCTTTACGAAATGCTTTTTAATTTTTATTTCTTAAAACATTTTTTGACTGCAGTACACACTTTCCTTCATTATGCTAGAAATAGTAGCTTTGACATTGTAATAATACCCCTAAACCGTTCAGCTTGTCAGTTCATTTATTCATATGCAATATGGTAAAAAAAATCTACAGACTTTCATCTGACTTCTTTAACTTACAAATAAAAGCACATCATGATTTGGAAAAAACAAAAAAATAGAAAAGAAGGAGCAGAAGGACAAGGATTTGTGACTTCTGGATTTGCTCAAATGTGATATTAATCTTTTTCTTCAGTTACTTCAGTTACCTATTTCAAGGATTCTTGCTCCTGGTTCTCAGGCTATTAGGTAGAAACCTAGGAATGGTTTTATATCTCTCACACAAAGGTCCTTTAGGCATGAAGTGTGGACAATACACTCGTCCATTTTATCTTGTGCTGAAGTTTTTAATTTAATTATGAAGAATGAGGAAGGGAAGGATTAAATTTCTGATCACTCGGTCATAGAAAGGTAAAGGATGCAAACAATCGTTTGAAAGATGCAATAAAGCGCTCTAGTCTCTCTTTATGTCATAAATGGAAACTCCCTTGAAACAATCATCAGCATTGGGCCCAGAGAGAAGCCATAAAGATAATCCTATGATAATCTAATAATATATCTAAAGGCAAAGGTGCGTGCTTAAAGATGGGGCAATCCTTTCCAACCAAATACACAACATAACTGCACAAACCGCAAACTGCCACCATCTTTTGGCTTGAGCATTGGAGGCTTAATATCAAGCTGCTTAGAGCCTAATGGGAAACTTTGTTAGAGAAAGGAGAGGAGGAAGTACATGAACAGTATTCAAGATACACTAAACATTTATTGACAAATATGGTATGCCACTTCAGGTTTTAAAGCTATATTGCCTAGTACTTGAAGTCTTGAACACAATGCATGCATATATTACATGACTGGATCTAAGTGAGCTATCTGTTATACCCATAAGATTTTAAGGCATGGGTTGCTTGATATTGGTAATTATATTGCAGGTTAGGTCGTACACCTGAATTCTTAATATATGGACAGGGGCAACAGCGAAATGCAATTATTGAGGCCGTCCGATTATTAGAAAATGGAAAAAATAGACATAAAGATGGTACACTGTTGATTGGTGAAATGTCCAATAGTATAACGACCCCTAAACTGTTCAAGGATAAGGCGAAGAAATGGCAAAAGTTTGTGACTCAGGTTTGTGGTTCTTTTTAAAGAGTAAATAATTCTGAACTTCCTTTTAAAATAATAAACTGATGCTTGATTCGCGAAAGCTACATTAACCTCCCTCAATTTTTATTTAAACTTATAATAACAGTCATTATATATATTAAAAATTAAATTGTATACGTTTACAATGAAGTCCGGTTTTAGTAGAAGTGGATGGTATGTCTTCTAATTAGTGTATGTATAAAATCAATTATTGCTCTACTTAAGGAGCAAATTACTATTCTAATTATGACTGTAATTAATATGTAAAGCACCAACTCAACCCAAAAGCTTAAGCTGGAAAGCAAATGTTACATTAATGGTTTTATATTATATTTTTTTAACACACCACTCACACAAGAGCCTAGTGAGCTTGAACAGTGGACAATGCACATGCCCATACGTGTTTAGAAACTCCATAATATTTAATTCATTATTAAAGAATGTGGGGTCGTGAAGATTGAACTCGTGACCATCTAGTCACGGCAGCTCTAATACCATGTAAAGCATCAACTCAACCCAAATACTTAAGTTGTTAAGTGGTCACATTTATGGCTTTATATTACATTTCTCCAACATAATACCTTTCTAATATAAATATGTCATTTGTGTGGTGTGGCTTAGACACACAATTTCAGCATACTCTCTAATTTCAAGGTGGTATTAGAGTGGGGTTTGACCCATCTTGCTGCCAAACCCTAAACTTGTAACACCTTCTGTGCTCACTGCCCTGCAACGCCTTAATGCATGCTTTTTGTGAAGGATATTCCTAGTTAATGCATAAACAGAAGGAATGACTTGTAAACTTGAGTTTTGAAGAAAAGCTTTGGAATCAAAGGGTTTCGGTTAAGTAGTAGTAAGATGAAATATTTTGATTGCAAGTTCAACATGATGCGAGTCAACATTGTTTTGTAGGTGAGAACTGGGGGACCTTATGTTCCATAAGTTGCATGGTTTAGGCATATTGGATCTATCTTACAAAGTGATGGGGAGATTGAGGGGGCTGCAAAATCAATCTAGGATGATAAAATTTAAAAGATTCTTTAGGAGTAATTTTTTATCGCAAGATGGCTATCAATCTCAAAGGAAATATTTATAGGACAACTATTAGACCAACAATGTTCTTTAACACCAAATGTTTGGCAATAAAGTGCCAACAAGGGCATCAGAAGTGTCAACAAGAGTTTTTACCGTGTAGAGTTGGTAAAGTGGGTTGAACCCAATGGGTCAACTCGCCAAAATGGAGCAGGGTGGGTTGTAAATTTCGACCTGCCAACTCAACAAAACATGCATTGCATATAGGTGGGTCAAAGCCGGTTAGGGGAGGGATGGGTCAACCCACGGGGTTAGTTTTTTTTTTTAATTCAACTTGTCATCTTTATACATATATCACATTGTTTCTTCCCCGATATATTCATGACTTTAATGCCATATTGTAGGAAATTAGTAATTGATTTACTTTTTTCTTCTTAATTTGAAATTTTGAATTTGCTGAGTTATGATAGGATAGGATTGCTGAGTAATAAGATAAGACTGACGACTCATTGCTGAGTCATTCTTATCTATTTTTTCCTAATTTAAACTTGTATAAATACCTCCTATCAGTGTAAATCAAGTGAGTCAATGTAATAAACTCTTTATTTCATATTTTTCAATATGGTATCAAGAGCAGGTTGGTCTTGAGAAAGTTCAGCCACCACAACTACCATCAAACCGGTGACACATCGTCAGAAAACTCAAAATCCGCATCTTATTTCTCTTTTCCATAATTTTAATATGGTAGTAAAAAGATATCATCTTCCTTGAGAGGAATTTTCTTCCGTTGTTCCTGTTCAATCAGATATTCCTCGTTGGACAGCCTCGTTTTTCGCTCAGTTGCAGATCTTCCCTGTTGCTCGTCTCTGTCGAACCTATCATCAGTTTCCAGCATCACCAGCCACCGTCGTCCCCCCATCGGATAAATTTTCCGATGACTGTTCCGATCAATAAGTACGTCAATGGGCTCAAAAGGAGCCAATCTATCCAATGCTCTTACGCGCCACTTCACTTTCTGCGCGTGGTTGACACACGTCACCTTCCTTCGATGTGTGTAGCATTTTCTGGCAATAGTTCGTCGTTAACCAAGGCTAGATGAGGTCACCCAGACATCCCCTCTCTGTATCTGCCTTTACTTCGTTCAACGAAGATCGTTTGGGTCGCGGTACACATCATTTGGGTTGCGGCCTTCACTTCGTTCTTCTTAGATCTGGTGGATCTACATCTGTTCACTATCTCTGTCCCTCATTCTTGTTTTCCGGAGAAGCTCAGACGCTGCTGTCTTTCCGCCGCTCCTAGCCACCATGTGGTTCTGTTCGCAACTGTTGCTGCTTCATCACTCTTCTTGTTTTGCTTTCTTAAAGCAAGGTCAAAGTGAAGGAGGAGAGGGTCTTTCTTCCTCCACCGCCTCTGCATCTGATCTCATTTCGCTTCTAGTTTGGGTTTGTAGTCAGAACCTGTTCAAATCTCCTCGCGCCAATGTCCATCCGCTGTGGTCACCAACTGTTACCATCTCTTCAGACTGATGGCTATTCCAGCTGATTTGCTATGCTACCAATTTCTCCGGCTTATGTTCGTCGAAGCTTTGTTTTTTAGTCTTCTTTCTTCCCAAGATGAAGTGTTTATGCTATTCATCATCTATCTTGAGGGAGAGTGTTAAGAAATTCCTCTCGAGGAGGAGCACCGTCCATGTTGCTGATGTTCATTCCAACACAGTTCCTCTTGAGGGGGAGCACCGTCCATGTTGCTAATGGTCATTGCAACACAGTTGTCTCCGGCGATGTTCATTTCGGCACCGTTCATGTTGCTGGTGTTTATTCCAGCACAATTCCTCTTGAGGGGGAGCTCCGTCCATGATGCTGATGGTCATTCCAGCACAGTTGTCTCAGCTAATGTTAATTCCGGCACCGTCCATGTTGGTGATGTTCATTCCAGCACAAATGTTTTAGCTGATGTTCATCCCGACACCGTTTCATTTCGTCGATGTCCATCTCGACCCCATTTTTAGCACATTGTTGATTTTTGGTTCCTCGTTTAGAAGATTTATTTTGATGTTATGTTACTTAATCTTTCTTGTTCAAGCTTGTAGCATATGATCTATATGCTTCAGCTTGAGGGGGAGTGTAGGAAACTAGTAATTGATTTACTTTTTTCTTCTTAATTTGAAATTCTGAATTTGCTTAGTCATGATAGGATAGGATTGCTGAGTCAGAAGATAAGACTGACGACTCATTGCTGATTCATTCTTATCTATTTTTTTACCTCATTTGCACTTGTATAAATACCTCTTATCAATGTAAATCAAGTGAATCAATGTAATAAACTCTTTATTTCACATTTTTCGATACATATATATTACATCCTGCACATTTGACTTTATATTTGAATATGATGTAGTTTTGTTGCAAAATTGCAACATTTTTGCTTGTCTCCAGTGGTCAGTTCACTATTATTACAACTTCAGGTTGAATTGAACAAAATAAAAAGAAAAGCATTTTCATGCAAAATACTATTGTTAAAGCAATTTTGTGATAATGATATTTGTATAAATTTACACACTGACCCAAACTTCTCATTTAATTCCACAAGTCACTAGATAACATGGTGATCCCAATATAACTTCTTTATTGTTTTTAATATTAAATGACATATTAGGAAAAAAATATTTTTTATTTATTTTTTTAGGTAGGTTGACCCGCCAACCCTCCTCAAAACGGGTGGATTGGTTTTTCCAATACACTCACTAATGGAGGGTCGACTCGCCCTGCCCTGTTTGTGGAGGGTTGGAGGCGGGGCGGGTTGACCTGTTTTGCCACCCAAAAGCAAAAAATAAGTGTAGCATAGATGGTAATTTTGCCTAAGATGGTTTGGTCATTTGAGAAGATTATCACAAACTAACTCAACTCAAAAGTTTAAGCTGTTCTGCTGGTATGTGAAGTTATATGAATGATTTTATATTTATTTTTAGCATGCCTCATGCTAGAGCCCTTCGTACTTGAAGGGTGGACAATGCATTGGCCCAACAATTCTAGTCAAAGAAAATCCACAATATTTAGAGGAGGATTTTTTTAGTAGGGTGGGAAACTCCTGTTCGGAACTAGATGGTTTTTTGATAGAGTGCAACGGTGCTGTTTGATCCATGTAGTTGACCCCAACTAGTGGGGTAATGCTTGATTATTGTTGTATGCAATGGATGTGCTTAGTGATCACGTGATTTGCCATTTTCTGAAGGCCTCCTAGTCTTGAAATTTTGAAAACCATGATTGCTATCAGTTGTGTGCGTAAATTTCTGAAGGCTAACTATTTTGGTGTTGGTGTAGCATGTAAATTTGATTGGATGCTTCCTATAAGTGCTTGTATTGTACAACTGAAGAAGAGGAAGGGATAAAGGAGAGAACAAGATACAGAGATATAAGAGGCAAAACTGCCAAGATTACTCAAAATACTTACCTAAGTTCAAAATTATAGAAAGGCATTTTATAAAGAGCATAAACTAACCATTAAAAAAGATTAAATAAAATGCTAGTTCATTGTACGAGACTCCTTTCATTCTGGTGTTTGGAGAGGGTTAGAGGTGTGCAACTTTCTCCCATAAGCAGAGAGGCAGTTTCCATTATTAGAATTTGTGACCACCACGTAACAAGGGAGAAAATAAATGTCAAAAAAGGTTCAATGTTTAAGCCTTAATAAAATCGTTAAAAAATGTTGTGTTTATGCCCGATTCATACCCTCCATTCCTTATTGGAATTTCCATTAATCTGTAAAATTGTTTTATTAGTTTTACAGATATGTTATCTCGAGTCTTGACCTTGTGGATTCATATTTCTGATAATGAGAACCATATCTGTACACTACATATGCATATTCAAATTTCAAACATGAGATTTATCTTAAATCTTTCTTCTTTTTATACATATATCAAGAAAAAAGAGGGGTTTAGTTGTTAAGTGAGATAAGTCTGAGTTGAATTTTACTTTTCCATGCTTCCTTTGGTATACAGAAGATCTTGTTAATAATTCTTTCCATGAATACTGTGGTTTTCTGACCTGAATAATAAGCCCAAACCGCTTCATTTCCTCATGTTTCTTTGACTAATGATGCATAATCTGAGAAATATTTGTTATAAAATATTTGATTCTATATTGTGACTTAATAAAAAAGTGTGTTCTTGGAAAAATAAATTATCATGCAGGAACTTACCCTAAACTACATTTTTTTTTACCAGTTTTATAGTTCTAATATTTACATAATGTAACCTACCTTGTGTTCCATCAAGGACTTCACTGGACATCTATATAGATGGATAAAAGTCTTTGTAGTGTCACAAAACTCGATTGTTCTTTACCTGAGAAAATTTGTTTTTAATCTGGATAAGTGCTCGAAGGTTGAGCTGTTTGTTTCTATATTATATTTATTAGGCATTTAATTTGGTAAAATTGTGCATTTCTTAATTGCTACAAAAATGTTTCTCGCTGAATGCATTATAATTGCTTGATAAGGGTCTTCCAATTCCTTCTTTTATTTTCTTATGCTGCGAAATTTAACTTGATCATATGCAATAACTTTACACCATTTCAGGCCAAAGCTTCAGGACAAACTTCTGCCGAGTATCGTGAAATGGGCAATGAAATAGGAGTAAGCTGATAAAGTCTTTATCGCTTTCCCCCACGTGCATGCACACACGGACCCAGACTCTTGTTCTGCTTTTACGCTTCTGATACCTTGCTTTGGATTGTGCTCAGGCTGAGATTCTTGAAAATTACAATAACATATTAAAATCTTGTAATGCTCTGGATTATCATGACTTGATCAGCTGTTCTGTGAAGTTACTCACCGATTTTCCTGAAGGTAAGAATTTTCTGAAATATACATTTTAACTAAAATCCGTTCCCTTACAACGTTTAGTTGTGCTAACTTATGTTTGTTTAAACTTTGAATAGTTTTCAAAGAGTGTCAGGATTCATGGAAAGCTGTTGTTATAGATGAGTTCCAAGACACTAGTGCTATGCAATACAAGCTTTTAAAGATTCTTGCATCCCATCATAAAATAACAATTGTTGGTGACGACGATCAGGTTTGATTGTTTTCTTTTTAAATCCCTAAAGTTTGAGAAGTCCATGGTTGGATATTTGTATTGTTTTCTATCATTGCACTTAAAATATCATCCTTGTAATTAACGGTCTAATGTCTTTTTCTTTTCTTACAGTCAATTTTCAGTTTCAACGGAGCAGACATTTATGGATTTATTTCCTTTCGCAGTGATTTTCCAAACTACAAAGAGGTTTCTCTTGTCCTTAATTAGTTCTTTTTTTATGCTACATACTTAACTCTTACTTGGTTAAGCCACACCCGCATAGGTTGATAGAAAAATGAATACATAATATCCTTATTAACTCTCTTCATTTGTATATGTAAAACTACTTGTGTATTGACTCACTTGATCAGAGGTTACAATAATATATATGCATAACCTATGACTAAAAAAGGAAACTAAATAATTGTAAAATCAATCCTAATTAAAAGTGTTAGAGATATATAAAACCATTAATGTAATCTCACCCATCAGCTTAAGCTTTTGGGTTGAATTGGTTCTTTACATGATATCAGAGCCTCATGTCCCAGGTTCGATCTTAGCCGCCCCTCACTTTCTCTTGTGGAATTTCTAAGCACATGTAGGTGAGACCATCAACTTAAACTTTTGGGTTGAATTGGTTCTTTGCATGGTATCAGAGCCTCGTGTCCCGGGTTCGATTCTCGCCCCCCCCCCCATTTTCTTTGTGGAATTTCTTAGCACAGATAGGTGGGCTTGTGCATTGTCCACCCTTCAAGCACAGTGGGCTCTCGTGTGAGGGGGCGTGTTAGAAATATATAAAACCATTAATGTAACCTCACCCATCAGCTTAAGCTTTTGGGTTGAATTGGTTCTTTACAAAAAGAAAAAAGAAAACTAATCCTAATTGATTCCAATAAATCAGAGATATGATGATATCCTCAATATACAGAAATATTTACGAGTAATTAATTAGGATTTTCTACAGGATACTTGCATAACTTACTTTTTTGGTTCAGATTAGGCTTAACAAAAATTATCGGTCCACACGTTGCATTGTTGAGGCTGCATCTTCTCTTATTCAAAATAATACCAAGCGATGTCAGTTGAAGGATGTTCTTACTGATAACTCTTCTGGATCCAAGGTAACTAATCATACTGTGTGGTGTTTTGAAAAGTATGTTTTATTGTGATTTTCCTATTTATGTAGCTAAAATGATTATGGTAATAATCTGCAGATAGTTATAAAGGAGTGTCACAATGAGGATGCACAATGTGCATTTGTTGTTGACAATATCATAGAAATTTCATCTAATCATTCAGCAACTGACTGTTGTTATGGCAACATTGCAATTCTCTACCGTAGGCAGGTGATGTTTCTCGCAATTATAACTATGTACAAAAGCAATGACCCTGTATTTGACTGAATGATCTTTGCTACTCCCTTTCTTCCTGTTCAGATATCGGGGAAAGCATTCCAAATGGCTTTCCGTGAAAGGAAAATACCGTTTAACATTCACGGTGTGGCTTTTTACAGGAAAAAGGTAATTTTTTTTCCAATTAAGATAAAAAATTTGTTTGTTTCTGTTTTCTAACAATTACTCATTGATAATAGTTAAAATATAAATCATTTGCGGCTCTCCACTAACAGCTTAAACTTTTGTATTAAGCTGGTTGTAACTATTTTATGATCATCATAAACATTGGGGTTTTATTTCAATGAAAATTCCTTATATCGTATACAATCATGGTGCTCTTTACTGCATTGGTGGTTAATTCTGTGTTAGGCTAATTATTTCATATATCAATCTGTTTTGGTTGTGCTCCTAATATGCTAGTTTATTTCTTTTGATTCTCCTATCTATTTATCTCCTATATTGAAGTAATGTAAACCACAGAGACTGATCATATAATGCTGCTGCTACTCTCTTTTTGCTTGTTTCTTTTAGAAATTGAGATTGTTGAAAATAGAGAGATTCAAAGAAAAGAAAGAGAAGAAAGTATCAAATGGCTTTACCAATTAATTCTGGTTCAGCTGCATTTATACATTAACATAGAAATAAATATATTACAGAATTAAGTTAAAAAGACAATATGACAGAGTTGATCATTCCCAGGTTGTTACAAATATGAGTAGCCATGTTCCCATCTAGATCTTTACTCCTCTAGATTCAAAGAAAAGAAAGAGAAGAAAGTATCAAATGGCTTTACCAATTAATTCTGGTTCAGCTGCATATATACATTAACACAGAAATAAATATATTACAGAACTAAAAAGATAAAATATGACAGAGTTGATCATTCCCAGGTTGTTACAAATACGAGTAGCCATGTTCCCATCTAGAGCTTTACTCCTCTAAGACATCGTTTTACCTCGAAAACAAACACATAATAACCATTAATAGGCCTCCTATCAACCAAGAACCTTGCCTAATCTGCATCAGAAAAACCCTAAACTCTAAAATGGACAAGATTCTTGTACAAATTTCCATTTCTCCTTTGAGATACTTAAAGACGTAAATATCTGGATAAGCAGTCATTGGCAATGACATGAACTGGCTATCTACACTCATTATGAATGCAATCTTTCAAACAATTATGTGAAAATCATCATGTAAGAAAGCATTCTATACATCAAGCTGATGAAAGCATTAATTATGTGAGGTAGGAAGAGCAATAAATAAGCAAAATGAGTCGAGCAGTTGGAGAGAAGGTGATACACTTCTGGTTGGAAACTTAAATTGTTGTTGTGAAAATAAATGGAATTGAAGGGAAAATAAGATTTATTTATTGAGATAAATGATAGTACTAGAGCACTCTCTTGCCAAGGGACAAGCCCTAAATCTCAGATGAGTTCTGAGCCAAACACTCACAATATCATATCTTGCCTATTCTTTAAGAGCCTTATATTGCATAACCGTTATGATTTTCTGGTTGCCTGAGAATGAACGACAGCACCTTTGCATAACTACCACAATGTCTCTTTTATTGTAGTAATAACATCCCTGCAGTAGTAACAGACTATCAGCCTTTGATTTATTGGCTGCATAGCTCCCACAATTTCTCTTTTATTGTTGTAATAACCCCCTGATTTATTGGCTGCCATAACTCTCATAATGTCTCTTTTATTGTTGAGAAATATTTCTACGGGTATAGACCTTACAAATGGATGGTTTTGTTCTGTAACAATACCTTCCTTTTGTGAATCAACCTTGTTGAAATCTGGAAACTGGCCTCGAATCATCATTATGTCTTCGCAGGATGCTTCTTTTGGAGGTTGATCTTTCCAATGAATTAAAACCTGCTCCACGTTTTAACCATGTTGCTGGATAAATCGGAAACCTAAAGCCTTGATTGGATAAAATTTAAAGTCGTCCACTTGTAAATTATCCGGTAGCTCCTTCTCAACATAATGCTCTCCTATGGCTTTCTTGAGTTGCGAGACATTAAAAACAGGATGTATGCGGGCATTGATTGGAAGTTGTAGTTGAAACGCAAAAGCTCCAATTTGCTTAAGCAACAAGGACCGTAAAATGTGGCTGTCAGTTTGTGGTGCAACCGAGAAGGCATGTAACCCTTTATGTGGGCGGATTTTAAATAAACCCAATCACCCACTTGGATATTTGATTGCACACGATGCTTATTTGCCTTGCAAGCCATCTGATAAAGCGCGCGATGAAGATGAAACTTAAGTTGCCACAAAGCTTCATCACGATCCATGAGGTCCTATGCCAGTGCTTATACCAAGGTCTCTCTTAGAATAAATTTTGTAAAAGAAGGATGAGGTCTTCCATAAACCACCTCAAAAGGAGTACATTGAGCAGCACAACGGAAACTAGTATTGTACCACTATTCAGCCCACGGTAAAAAGTCGCCCCAGACTTTAGGGCACAAAAACAGCCCCCTGATTTATTGGCTGTCATTACTCCCATACTGTCTCTTTTATTGTTGTTGACGAATATTCCTATGGGTGTAGACCTTCCACAAAATAGTCAATGTCATGGGTTTGGGCATATTCTTTGGCAACCAAACAAGTTTTTAACCGAACTACAAAACCATATTGATTCATCTTGACTGTCTACACCCAATTGCAACCAATTGCTATACTTGAATTCGTTAAATATTTGGAATTTGGAATTTCATTAGATAATTCCTCTATGAATTTATATTAAAGGATCACAATTCAAATCTGATTACTATACAAATACCTAACAAAAATTAATTCCTAAATTGCAGGGATAAGAAGAGATAAGGATATTATGTATAATAACTATCATTCTTCTTCAAGCTAGTGCATATATGTCATATGCACCAAGCTTGTTACGTATGGAAGTTATCCTTGGCACTCAAAGTGATTTGGTAAACATATTTGCTAGTTGATTATTAGAGTTCACAAGCTCTTGAAAGTTTTATTTTTATAATCTTATTCTTATTGCTATCTGACTCGTGAATGATTGTATCTTTGTATACTTTCAATCAGTTGTTAACTTTTCCCTTCTTATAATAGGTAGTCAGAACTATCATTGCCATGCTTCGAACAGTGCTGCCTAGTTGTGATGATGGCTCATATAGTCGTGTCTTCAAGGCTTTACTGCCTTTTGAGAAAGATAAAAAAAAGAGGGTACAGGTTTTATAAAGATATTCAGTTTGAACATGCATAATGGAGCATATAGCCATGGTGGCTTTCTATCTTCTTCTTTTTTTAGATATTCTTTCAGCATGTGTTTTAAGATTAGTGTTCCCATTTGCAGGTAATTGACCATATCAACAAAATTTCAACTATTAGAAAATGTAGTTTCTTATCAGCTGCCCGTGACATCTTTAGTGCAAAGATTTCTGGTATCTTTCAAAGGTTTGGTAAAAATACATTCTTAGCCTTAAAGTTTTATCATGTTATATAAAGTATTTGAAATTTTTTATTAATTCTTTCTGTTGCTCTCTAAGAAATTGTTTTTTTTTTCCGATAAAAAAAGTAAATTAGTTTTGTTTATCTCACCTTTGACATGAATACTATCAAAACAAAGTATTCTCCCAAAATATTGATTATGGAAATAATCTTTTGTGAGCAATATTTCTTCTCATTTTTTGGGAGTTTCTTATCTTGGGCATATTTCTTGTTTTTGTTTGTTTATCACTCAGCTTGAGAATTGTTTTTTAGTTTTTTTTTATTATTTTGTGATAACCATGGTTGTTGAATCACAATACATATTGTCCATCGTGCAATACTACAACTATGGTGATAACTGATAACTCAAAAAGGCATTTCTTTGAGGTCTAAAAAAAAAAATTCTAGCAATGTTGATCAATTCTCAGCTTCCGTACCTGACTTGACAGCTATAGTTTTTTTCTTACTTTTGTAGTATATTAGGATTCTTCTAACTTAAAATAATATGTTTGTATGACTGATTATCTCCTAAAATAACTCTAAAGATTTCTCCTTAATTGGGGCACAAATTAACTATATATATATATATATATATATATATATATATATATTGTCAAGAGTGCGAGACTAGGGCAATGGTAAAGCTACTCCTTGGTGACCAAGAGGTCACGGGTTAAAATCCAGAAAATAATCTCTTTGCAAAAAAATATGGGTAAGAGTAAGACTATGGACAAGGATTTTCCTCACCTTTACCCTCGTTAGTTGGAGTTTCACGGGAAGTGGTTTTTATATACATTAATTGTCATGGTATCTCTAATAATGTTAATACGTTTTTAGATGAAAGGGGTTTGTCCTTGGAGTTAAATGTATTTAGTTTGCATTGTATTGTTGTAGTTCTTGCTTTTTTGGTAACCCGTGGCTTGTTATGTTCCTCTATGAAGCATGCTTGTGAAACAAATTCATATACATGTCTTTTCTGTATTCTTGTTCTGCTGTATATAATCTCATAAACTAATTGATATAATGACTTGCGTAGTTCGTATTGATCATAGGAGTGAGCTTACCCATGGAAGGAAGGTTTTAATGACACTAGAGATGATTTCGAAACTTGTTCAGAGGGTAAACACTTTCTGAACATTTTGATAGCTGATCTAATTTATGATTGGAGTAATAAACGTTTATCACTTGTGATAAATGCTTCTCTCACCTGAAATGTATGCCATATTTATTTGACAGGAAAATTCAATCTCAGCTATCATAACTTGTGTGGCAAACATGATACCTGAGGTTTGTCTTACTTCTCACTTGAATTTTTAAAAAATTACTGTATTAGCCCATAAGATATTGTATTTTCTTAAAATGGTACAATCAACTTGTTTGAAATGGCTATTATGTGTTGTCTGAACTTATTTTTTTGTTTATTTTTTAACTATGTATTCATATTTTATAGCTCCAAGAAACATTCTCGTGGGTGCATGTGTCAATCATAAAATTGTATTAGGGCATAACGCCATATTTATAAATATTTTGCTTATTTTATTGTTAGATAAATTCGAAGATGCATAGATTAAATAAGTTCAAACAATTACAGAAATATTTCATGATTCCGCAATTCTATTGATGTAGTTATTGTTCCATGAACTTGAATTTCAGAAATACCTCCTTGAGAAACGGGCAACCATTGATGTTGATGGAGGGACATTGCTGAATGAAGACTATGACATTAGATCTGTAAGTTTTTTATGCAAGATAAAACTGAGGTTGTTTTTTGTTAGTTGGTTGTGTGCTTGTTATGTATATGTTGAAATAGTAGTTGTGTAGTTATTAGTTAATAGCAAATGATCCAGGAGGTTGCTTCATTTAGACTTCCTCAGACAGATCATCATGGAGGAAAGTATTCTTGATATCCAATTGATAATGTGGCTAGCGATGAATAGCAACCATAGACAGAAAGAGGCAAAAAAATGCCATTTTCGCCACGGGGTGGTGTCCCCATCTATGTAGCACCGATACGACACGCGACACGTGACACGACACTCCGACACGTCAATCCTAAAAAATTATGGATTTCGACACGTTGGGACACGTTTTAATATTAAATAATATTTTTAATTTATATAGTGTATATTTCATTTAATATTTAATAATTTAACAAAAAAATGAAACTAAATTAATAATACCCATCAACACGTTATAAAGATGGAAGCTTTAATAAAAAAAAAAAAGAACTGGGATGAGAGAGAGATATAATATCAGATAGAGAGATCAAATCATATTAGAGAGATCAGAGAGAAGAAGATACAACAAGAGCGTGATAGGAATTGACAACAATGATGCTGAAATGATCTCTTATCTACTTAAGGGGAAAAAAGACAAAAAAATAAAATTGATATGATCAGGTGGAAGCTTTATTAATATATTTTAACTTTTTAAAAAAATAATTTTTTTAAAAAAAAAATTAAAAAAAATTACGAAAATGCCATTTGACCGTGTCGGACACGGTCAAATTCGCGTGTCGGAATGGTCAACGTGTCGGAAAAAGTCAACCGCGTGTCCGACACCGTGTCGGAGCGTGTCGCCGTGTCGGACCCGACTCTTCCTGTTTTTACAAGTGTCCGTGCTTCCTTGATCCCCATAAACTCTCCTGTTATTATTGCAACTATTAAGGTTTAAGTGAGAAAAAGCATACATGAATACACATTTCAACGAACATAAATGAGTTGTACTGATTATACAGCAAAGATCCTTTTGAAAGTCGAAGCTCTCAAGTAAATTGGCTGCAATATGCATTGCTGGCATTTAATGTTTGAAAGAAGATATTGTTCTGGAAGTTTTAATTTTCAATGTAAATTCATGTCTTTTAATTTCCTTTTGAATTCATTTTTACCTAGATTATGTTCATCCATAGCTTGAATACCTTTCTTCAGGTTCGCCAATACCTGTTAGATGATGTCTCTGAGTTTCTTTCCACTAAATTCAATGAGGTAAAAGGGGAAAGGGAAGTATCAGAAGATAACGGTTGCATTTTTGTGCTAAAAGCTTTCATTGATTATTTATTTGAGCGTGAGAGGAAAAACTTTTGTGGTCGGAGGAAGGACAATGAAAATTCTGTGACATTAACTACCATTCATCAGGTACCTATCTCACTGGATTAGTGCCAAATGGTGTTTGACTAAAAAATTATGCAAATTTAACCTTCTTTGACCTGCAGGCAAAAGGTTTAGAGTGGGATGTTGTCTTCATAGTTAAGGTATGTGATAATATTTAGAACATTGTTCTTCAACAAGCTCAAAAGCAAGTAGATGAATGTGTTCTTTCTAATGTTTTTCAAAAACAGATATTCATTTTTAATACCCTTTTTATTTATGCTATACTTGGACAATAATATGGCTAACATTTTCACCTGACTAAACTGCAACATGACCACAAACTGCTCAATGGAAGTGAAGGAGTTGGCATAGTGTAGTCAAAAAACATACCAACTTATCTAAAGTTATGTTTTGAAAATTTAATTGAAGAGTGTGTTACAGAGTTACCCAAGCTTTACAGTTCACATAGTGGAGGAATTCATCTGCTTGGTGATCTGAATCTTCATATGTGATTACCTTGTTCATGGATAGAAATTTCTTGCTTTGTTCGGCTGTGTTTTCTGATGTTATTCAAAAAAATGGCTAAAAAGTTATTATTTATGTGATCCTTTTTTATGACTGTCATTTACATACACCTGGTTACACTGCAACAAGACCATGCAAATGCTCTTTGGAAGTCACTGAGTGATATTAATTAAATATTGATCACAAAGTTAGCAAAGGTGTTGCAGTTCAGAAGGCGGGAGGAATTCATCTTTACTGTGATATTACTTTTGATATTTGATTCCTTGTTCATGGGTCATAGTCCCTTGGTTTCTTCCATGTGTTATTACAAAATGAAATGGATGGATAACCTTTTTTTTGTTTTTTGGCTGTCTTTTCTTGACGGATGTTTTGAAATATGAAATAGGCAAATGAATCTGAGATCCCTCTATTACATGATTTCAAAGGTACTGTAAAGGACACTGGGGCCCTAGTTGAGGTACATTATTGCTTGATAGTTGGATGAATTATACATATGTTCATTTGTCTTCTACTAGATTGTTTTAGACTGGTTTTGATTTTAATTCTTATATGATTCTAAGGAAGAAAGACGTTTATTATATGTTGCAATGACTCGTGCTCGGCAGAAGCTTTTTATTCTCTATGTTATGATGGATTCAAACTGGCAGGTTTGTCTAGCATAACTTCCAAGACATTTTTATCATTGGATTTTGCTAATTTTGTGTGTCTCTAGATGCTTCAACCTTCACGATTTCTGAAAGAAATTCCTCATCATCTTGTAGAGGTTCAGGTATGTCATACTGCCTTTTCAAATTTTAATAACCAATTGTGACTGAAATTACAGAATAAAAGTTTGTTTGAAGTCCTAATTCTTTCCAGGGTTATTACATTTATTAGTAGAATAAGGCTTGCTGCTTTGTTGCTCCCTCAGAGGGAAGGCCTCGTGGGGAAAACAAGCAAACCCTTTATTTCTTGATTGTTGAGAGTTTGACAACCGTTACAACTCTACATTTGTTTATTTATTGATTAATTATCTCCCTACATTTGATGGTATCTAGTGTTTTATTTCCTATTAATCCTTTTAATTTTCTTATCTTTCTTTATAATTTCTAATCATAATTATTTTGTCTAACTTGAATTTCAAAGTTGCTTGATATTATCCCTCTCAGCCACCTCTCATTTTTAATAGAATAGAGATGCAATACATATTAATTTACAATCCTTAATTAATAGAGATTTCCTAACTATAAGGATATCATATATTCCTATTTATTGCACCACTACATGTACGCTATACAATCATAGGTATTTACAACTGTTAGGGAATAATATAAAGTATAAACCATTAAAAAGGCCCTCACCCAATCACTTAAGCTTTTGGGTTGAATTGGTTCTTTACATGGTATCAGAGCTGGAGTGATCAGGAGGTCATGAGTTCGATCCTCACCGCTCCCTCACTTTCAGGTGAAATTAAGAAAGGCACAAGGTAAATAAAAAAATAGGCCTGTGCAACACATGGTAGACCAAAAAATGGACGTGTGCCATATCTACGCTTCAAGCCCAAAGGGCTCTTGCGTGAGGAGGTGTGTTAGAGAGATACAAAAAGTACAAAATAATTAATTAAGTCTCACCTAATACCTTAAGGTTTTGGGTTGAAGTGACGCTTTATAGCAACATTCAACACTCCTTATGTCATATATTAAACTTATTATTGAAGTTATCCGAGGCTATGGAGGGATTTGGTAAAGATATATGCTAGTTGATCATTAGACATCACAAGTGAGGTAGTTATTTCCTCAAAAAATCTTTTCCCTAATAAAATGGCTATCAACTTTTATTCATTTGGCTCTCTCATGAAAGATTGGATTGGAGACATGTTATGCTGCTTGGTTATCACAAACAAATTTCATTGACTTGCAAAACTTCAGCACTGGAAATAGTTGTTTTAAATATATAAGTTTACAACTTTTAAGAGCCGTGGATTGATATTTTTCTTTTGCACTTTATCTTGCAACTAGAATTTGTTTCTTGCTTTTCCACGAGACAAAGTAACCTTTTGAGGACACAATATTGATAAGAATTAGATCTTGTATCACTAGGAGAAACTAGTCAATCCGAATATGTATCCCCAACAATGTTTATGTCCCTTATTTTCTTAACTACCCTTTTTGCTGCTGAACTTTTAATGTATCTCAAGTTTCAAATTGCTTTATATCAGAAGCTATCATAAGAGTTAAGAAATTGACTCATAACTCCAATAGTAAAAGATATATTTAGTCTTGTAACATAATGATGCATCTTCTTCCTAATGTGTATCTAAGTTCTGATAATGTCACCTTTATGCTCCACTGTTTATAAGTATGCAGTAGTTGAATAGTATATATATATATACTTGTGTAGGGTGAAATAAATTTACAAAAACTACAGATAAAGCAAGAAGCTGTTCAAAAGAAAACTGCCCAGTTTACCACCAATCTGTTGATAAAAGAGAAACAGTCTGAAGATGATGTGGTCCCTATGCCTAATGGCTTACTCAATAACCATTCTAGTGAGGCTTCCAATGAGCTTGCAGAATTTGCAGAGGCAAGCAATGGCAGTAATTTCTTGAGCAGGTTTCTTTCCTTATTTGTTAGTTATATTACTATTGTTCGTTTCTGATGTAAGCTATAATTGATTTTGAAAATTTGATTTTAATCATTACATATTAGTTTTTTGCAGATTTAGTGTCGAGGAAAGATCTGTTGTTTCTCATTTATTCCATCAATGGGCCAAAAAGAAAGCATTTCAAGATCCAAAGAGGTTGCTTGACAAGGTGACACTATATATATATTCTGGGCATGAGATTTGCCACTGTAAACCATTTAATAGTTTAAACCCAAAGGTTGATAATTTTATAATTATTCTCTGGCGTACATATACAGAACTATTTGGAACAGTGACCATTGTGCCACTGTTCACCAACTTTTTTACTTAAATGCCACGCGAACAATGTTATTTTCCAATCTGCCACGGGGCAAGTTCGCTTCTGACACAAGCGACCTCGGTTTGCTGATGTGTCAGCTTCCTGATGGTGTCAGAGTTCGCTTCTGACACAGGCGACCTCGGTTCCAACAATATTTTAATCAAGTTCGCCTACATGGTAGGCGAATTTCATTTTTTTGAATTTTTTGTTTTTAAATTTAATACTTGTTATCCACTAAAAATGTGACACGTCAGCAAACCGAGGTCGCTTGTGTCAGAAGCGAACTTGCCCCGTGGCAGATTGGGAAATAACACTGTTCGCGTGGCATTTAGGTAAAAAAGTTGGTGAACAGTGGCATTTTGGTCAGTATCTCGAACTATTTTATATTTTTGTATAGTTTATCAGTTATTAATAAAAGGAAAAAGTTTTACGAATTTGTTCCTATGAAATATTATTTTTTTTTAATAAAAATTTCAAACTTATTAGAGGATACAGTTGTCTTAAAAATTTAAACTTGCAAGTGAGAAAGATCCATCAAATATATAGAGACATAAGTAAATCTTGAATGTACTTCATATGCAAGTGCATAATATTGAAGCTAGCAAAGTTTTCATGAGACCATAATAAAACATCTTTAGAAGAAAGATAGTGTTTTCCCTACTTGGGGATTGTTAAATTCTCAAAGACCACTGTTAGAGTTATATAAATGGAGAGTTTGATCCTCACCGCCACCCATTTTCGAGTGGAATTAAAAATAAGCACAAGGTAAACAAAAAAAATTTGAGTTTGTGCAATATTCACACTTCAAGTCCAAAGGGCTCTTGTGTAAGGGGGTGTGTTAGAGTAGAGTATAATATAAACCATTAAAGAGGCCCTCACCCACCAGCTTAAGCTTTTGGATTGAATTGGTTCTTTACATGGTATCAGAGCCTCGGTGTCACAGGTTCGATTCTCACGACCCTCCACTTTCTCCTGTGGAATTTCTTAGCACATGTATGTGGGTTTGTGCATTTATCCACTCTTCAAGCCCAATGGGTTCTTGTGTGAGGGGACGTGTTAGAGATATATAAAACCATTAATGTAGCCTCACCCAATAGCTTAAGCTTTTGGGTTGAATTGGTTCTTTACAGTCACCATCCTAATATATGTAACTTTTGTTTCCAGTCCATGTTAGTACTTTTGTGGAGAAAAACTAGTTTTACGAAGTAGTCCTTTTCTTTTGGTTCTGAAAGAGTAGGTTTCTTTTCCCCCTTCTTAGCTGATGTAGGTGTCTGTTTGCTTTAAAAGGAAAAACAAATATCTATAGCTGAAATTTTGTATGACTTACTTTATTATTATTATTTTGCACAATTTCAATATAATTTTCAAGACTGTAAACAACGGGCTGCTGTGTGTAGGAAGAAATAAAAATGCAACCTTATCAAAAGATTTATAATATTTTGCCTGATATGGTAAAAATTCGTGGTAGTTAGAACAATTGTTTGGTATACGGCAAGTGCTCTGCTTTCAATCTTTGTCCTAAATCCATCCAGACTCAATTTTAAAATATGATCCTCTTCTATAGCAACTTTTCTTTTTCCTAAAAGTTTAAGGCTTTATTGTGCAAGAGAGGTAGCAAAGCAATAGGATCATGAGTCCTCCAAAAAAAATAAAGAGAAAAACGTGAAAACAGCAGCGGAAAAATAAGAACATCAGTGCATGAGGGGTCCTCAGTTCCTTTACATATCTTATGAAGTCCCTTCACAAAAATTTATGTGATGAAACGCATAGGAAGGAAATTTTATCCCTAGAAAGACCTCGTTTGTACTCTTTAATAATCTTTTACAGTAAGGCTGGAACTTAATAACTACACTGAGATTTATGTGGGATTTTGTGGTGGTGGGAATTACGTACTCAGTGAATTGATCAAGTCCCTTAATATTGATTTCAAGGAAATAGTGCTTGCAATGCTGTTAAGTAGCTCTCTTAAAATATTATTATAATATATATATGAATGATTTTCATTATAGTCTATTTTGATTATAATTAGTATGGATTGGTAAATGAGGCATGTCACAGATATTTTGCATTATGAATTTCAGGATTTCTTTTATAACTAACTATTATAGGATGCACAGCATGAATATAATTTAATTTGGCAACTAAATCATTTTTTCCTATTGGATGTACAGGTTGGTTTTGTAATTGATGAACGCCTTAGACAGAAGAAAAACAAAAACAAGGTTCAGCAATATCCATATTTTTGTGGCTGCTTGTTTTATACTGCCTATCTTTGTCTTGTATATTTATATTTATTTCACATTAACAAACTTTCAGTTATGTGGAATGCGGAACAGTGACCAAAATGTCACTGTTCATCAAGTTTTTTACCAAAATGCCACGCGAACAGTGTTATTTCTCAATATGCCACGTGGGCAAGTTCGCTGGACACTGCAGCAAATTCAGTTTGCTGACGTGTCACGTTTCTAGTGGACACCAAGTTCGCTACCTGGGGTAGCGAACTTGGTTGCAATACAAGTTGCTGATGAACAGTGCAATACACCAAATTGCAACCAAGTTTGCTATCTCAGGTAGCGAATTTGGTGTCCACTAGAAACGTGACACGTCAGCAAACTGAGTTCGCTACAGTACCCAGCGAACTTGCTCACGTGACATATTGGGAAATAACACTGTTCACGTGACATTTGGGTAAAAAACTTGGTGAATAGTGACATTTTGGTCACTATTCCTCCTTTCAGATACATTCTTGCATCCTTTCTCATTTACTATTACTTTGAGTTTGAAGTGGATAAGTTTATTATTGTTCAGGATGGGTTGAATATTCCGATATTAAATGCATTAGACTTGAAATGATATCAGGAGTTACTTATGATTACGGTGATTAAAGCGTTTGGGTTTCTTTTGTCAAGTATCTCCCAGAAACTAGACATAATTTCAATCTCTCTTTCTCTCTCTTACCAGACAAATATTGTTCTCATTACTTCTCTTAATATATCTTGTGCAATCTCTTATGACATAACTGTATGTTTTGGATGTCTTGTAATTAACTGTATTATCACCTTGATTTCTAATTGCAATTTCAGGATTTGTTGAATACGCTGAAGTCTTGCTTAAGCTGTGACGAAGCATTTCAGCATGCTCAATATGTTAGTGCCTTTACATATTGCTGAAACCAAACGTGGTTTAGAAGAAATGGAACTTTTATTATATCCTATTTGATTTCTGATATATTTTTTTTCTTGTAGGTTTTGAGATGGGAGCAGATTCCTGCTGATAAACGTGCTCATCTTATGAGGGAAAAACAGGTTTGGTGTACTTTCACTAGTTATTATTTGGATCTTTATGAGATCTGTTAGAATATTAGCATTCTTAATTTCTTATCGTTTTAGCTGTCTTATGATGTCAGTAGTCTTGTCTTGTACTAGTTATACAACATTAGTGCATGCCCTAGATTGTTAGTATAAATAGGTGTGAGTGTGAGTAATTTGTATCTTGCAACGTATCTCATATTATTCAAAGTCTCTCTTCTCTCTTCTTCCTTTTCCATCGAATTCCTATAATTTCAACAAGGTTTCAAAGAGCTATCATTCACCATGACCTGATTCTGTCACTGTGTCAATTATTCAGTTCCCTAAATATAGAATTCCTTTGTTAGGTTTCCACCTTCTTGGGCCCTGATAAAAAACTGACCACGTTAATGGAATCAGACAATGCTGATTTTTTAAGCTATGGTGACTTGTTGGAAAGTTCTAAGCCAAATGCCCCCTTAGGGCCTTAAGTACACAACCGCTCTCTAGTGACCAGACCTCCACATGCTAGAGTGAGGTGGCATGTCTACCACCGCCATCAATGGTGACCACCACAAATTGCCTTGCCTAAAGTTTTGGGGTAGTCCAAATCTTAGGTTGTCGATTTTAGCCATTCCTCCACTGCAGTTGGCCCTATTTGGTCGTTTCTCTGTCGTGATTCCCATGTTTGGCTATTTTAATGTTTGTTTGGCCCTGTTCTGATGTGGGATGCTGTGCTCGTCCCTCTGTTTGGTTTATTCCAGTTTTTGGCTGCTATTAGCATTAGGCTTGTTTGCTGCTCTTCCTGTCCAGGATACTACATTATTGCTGTTGAGAGCCATCTTTCCGAAAAGCTTAAGGCTGACTATAATTTTGTTGTTCTTTGACTCTAATTGCCCTATTTGACTTTGTTTGGCTTTGTTGTTCAAGGCCCAGTTTGATTTTTGTCTGGCTCTTTAGTTGTGTAGTTTGCTATGTCCTGTTCTGGCTGCAAGCTATTAATCAAGCTGATCAATCCGTTTTCAAACTACTTTGAATTGATTCAAACGTAATACATCTTGAGATATATAGTCCCACATTGGTTGTATGAGCCAACTAATGTGGAGTTTATAAGGCCTTGGGCACTCCCATCCTTTGAGCTAGCTTTTGGGGTGGTGTATCCCAAGGTTCTTTACATGGTATCAGAGCCTCGTGTCCCGGGTTCAAACCTCGCCGCCCCCCACTTTCTCTTGTGGAATTTCTTAGCACAGGTAGGCTGGGCCTGTTGCATCATCCACTCTTCAAGCCCATGGGCTCTCGTGTGATGGGGCGTGTTAAGATATATAGTCCTAAATTGGTTGTATGAGCCAACTAACGTGGAGTTTATAAGGCCTTGGGCACTCCCACCCTTTAAGCTAGCTTTTAGGGTGGTGTATCCCAAGGTTCTTTACAATACACATGTTGACATTCTAAGCATGTTTTCCATGGTTTTTGAGTCTCTTGAATTTATACGTGAGGTTACTCTCTGTATTTTGAAGCTTCAAAATGATTTTTTTTATGAATCTGGATAAGTTTAGGCTATGTCATGCATGATTACGCTCCAAGAAATTTCCGCATCATATCTTCTCAACTTTGCCTCTTCCTTCTTGGCATGTAACATTCCATTTGTCATTCCTACCATCTTGGGATTCATCTTTTTTTTTTTCTCTCTAACAATGCTTATGTGATTTATGGAGCTCATTTTTCTTAAGTTATTTCCTTTGCAAAGTGTGTTTATTTATACGAAACTGATTATTAGGTTTCTTAATTTTTTTTAGGAATCTTATTATGTTAGTAGTATTATAAGGATGGGCAGTATAGGATTGTACTAGTTGTATACTTGTACTACGCAAGCGTAATTCATTAATATAAATTGGTGCCAGTGGATTGTATCATACGATACATCTAATCCCGACAATTCAACAAGATCCTTTAACTGATGATCTTAATAAATCTACACTTACATAAACTAGGCAAAACGTCTGTATAATTTTCCCCAGGTAATGGGTGGTTTACATAAAACAAATTTTGTGGCCTTGATATATAAATGTTGAAATATGAAAAAAATGGTTTTTTCTAATTTGATACATACTGTTTTACACTAATAGAGGTATATATATAAGAGTAAATGAGAAAAAATGGATAAGAATGACCCAATATTTAATCATCAGCCCTATCCTATCTAATCACTAATTAATAGGAAATAAAAGCGGAAAGATTCTAATCCTAATTTCCTACACTCCCCCTCAAGTTGGGAGGTAAATGTTGATCATTCCCAACTTGCCAATCAGGTCTTCAAAGGATGGCCGGTGTAGGCCCTTAGTGAGGATATCTGTAGTCTACTCTTTGGTAGGAATATATATCATACACATACTTCCATCATCTAATTTTTCTTTGATAATGTAGCGATCAACCTTCACATGTTTTGTTCTGTCATGGTGAACTGGATTTTGAGCAATACTGACAGTAGCCTTATTATCACAATACATTCTGATAGGTAGGGAAAAAGAGATCTTCAATTCCTCAAGGAGTCTTCTTAACCAAATTCCTTCACAAATACCATGGGCTAGAACCCAAAATTCTGCTTCTGCAGTTCTCTGGGCAACAACTGTTTGTTTCTTACTTCTCCAACACAAGATTTCCCTAGACATACGTACAATTTCCTGAAGTGGATCTTCGGTCCAATACAGAGGCAACCTAATCTGCATCTGTATATATTTCAATCATCCTCTTGTGTCCCCTTTAAAAGAACAATCCTCAACCAGGGGCGTTTTTGAGGTACTTGAGGATTCTATAAACTGCACTCAGGTGTTTTTCCTCAGGAGAATGCATGAATTGACTAACCATGTTGACTGCAAATGCAATATCAGGTCGAGTGTGAGATAAGTAGATCAACTCCCCCACCAACCTCTAGTACTGCTCTCTGTCAATTTCTTTCCCATCTTTGGTTCCCAATTTAATATTGGGTTCAACTAGAATCTTTGCTGGCTTGCACCCAAGCATTCTCGTCTCTTGTAATAGGTCTAAAATATATTTCTTCTGAGTTAAGGAAATTCCTGCCTTACTACGAGCAACCTCCATGCCAAGGAAATATTTGAGAGATCCAACATCCTTCAGTTCAAACTGGTCAGCTAAACACTTCTTCAAAGAGATTATCTCCACACAATCATTACCTAGAACAATTATGTCATCAACATAAACAATGATAATAGCAATTTTACCACCGTTAGAGTGTTTAAAAAATAAAGGGTGATCAGTCTGAGCTTGGAGGAATCCTCTTCCCTTAACAACTTGAGTAAATTTCTCAAACCACTCTTTAGGGGATTTTTTAAGCCCATAGAGAGACTTCTTCAACTTGCATACTGAACCGTTTTCATTTTCAAAGCCAGGCGGTGGATCCATATAAACTTCTTCATGTAAATCACGATTCAAGAAGGCATTATTTATATCTAAATGTAGAAAGGACCAATCAAGGTTGGCAGCAAGTGATAGTAGAATTCGAATAGTGTTAAGCTTGGCAACAGGGGCAAATGTCTCCTGATAATCTATCCCTTGAGTCAGAGTGAATCCTTTAGCAACCAATATGGCCTTATACTTGTTGATGTTGTTATCTATATTTAATTTTATTGTGAACACCTACTTGCAACCTATTGTTTTCTTTCCCCTGGGTAATGCTACAGACTCTCAAGTTCCATTTTTTTTAAGTGCATCCATCTCTTCAAAGACAGCCAACTTTCAATTTAGATCATCAAGGGCTTGGATATTTTTTGGAATCTTCATACTATCCAAGACTGTGTTGAAGGCACAAAAACCTGGAGATAATGTGTCATAAAAGACATATTGAGAGATGGGATGTGAAGTACAAGACCTGGTTCCTTTCCTGAGAGCAATTGGCAAATGCAAATCTAATAGGCATGTTGGGTCTATCTTCTCAAAGAAAAGTCTCATACTGTTCAAGTTTTCAAAAAAATTCTTGTCATGGTTCAAAACCAATTTGGCATCTCCCGTAAAAATTCTTCAGACAGACAATGGTAAAGAGTATTTCAATTCTATCCATGGAGACAAAAACCTTTCAGAGAGATAGAGAATAACGTTTATATCCCATTTAAGTGGGAGAGTATCCAATGAAGACACATTTGTGAGATTTAGGATCAAGTTTGAATTGTTGGTGTGATGGAACATGGACAAATACAACACATCCGAACAATTTTGGAGGAAGAGAAGATATAGAACTAATAGATGGATAGTTCTTTAAAAGACATGATAGTGGCGACTGAAACTGCAGGACACAGGAAGGCATTCGGTTGATAAGGTAGGTGGCAGTTAGAACGGTTTCCCCCGACAAATATTTAGGGACGCTCATGGTGAACATAAGATCACGAGCAACTTTAAGAATGTGTCTATTCTTTCTCTCTGCTACCCTATTATGTTGAGGAGTATTAAGACATGAACTCTGATGAAGGATGCTTTGATGAGATAAGTATTCACCAAGGATGGAATTGAAATATGTAGAAAATCAGAATTCAAATTCAAATATTTTTCCGTTTTTATTTCCTATTAATTAGGAATAATTAAGATTAATTAGGATTGATTGTTTTTTATTTCCTATTAATTAGGATTAATTGTAATTAATTAGAATTAATTGTGATTAGGTTTAGTGAGTCATAGCTGAGTCATTCTTATGATTGTGATTAGGTTTGGTGAGTCATAGCTGAGTCATGCTTAGCTATTTTTTCTTGTATAAATACTCCTCATTCCTCATGTAATTATTCAGTATCGATATACTGAAAACCTTTTTCAATATGGTATCAGAGCAGGTTGGTCCTGAGAAAACTCAGCCACCACAACCACCGTCAAACCGGCGGCACAACGCCGGAAAACTCAACCTCCAACCATTATTAAGGTTATTTTCCCTTCCTACAAAGTCCCAAGAGCAAAGTAAGGCTACTAATCACTGTAGAAGGCAAAATCTCAGCTTTCCACCGCCGTCAGCCACCGTC